GAGAGAGAGAGAGAGAGCGAGAGATTGATAGATTTGCTAATGGTGCCATGTGTGTATATAGCTGTCCACTCGCTCACGGATGTATGCTGGAAGAAGTGCGTAACGGGCACGATTCGCAGTGGGAAGCTGGATAAGAGCGAGGAGAGCTGTGCGCAGAATTGTGTGGATCGGTTCCTGGATGCGAATTTTACGGTTATTAAGCATTTGGATAAGATGAGGGGGAGTCAATAGTGTAGGGGTTGATATGGGGAGATCTGGTGGCAGAATTGGGAGTGGATGTGGATGTGCTGGGATACCTAAGCTGTGGTTGAGGGGATTGTATTATTATACTGTATGATTATGGCACGGTTCATGAGGAATGGCTGGCTATAAGGATGTTGATTGAGAATGGGCGTGGGACTTCACTCTTACAGCCTGTATTATGATAGAAATAACTGGCATGGGATGGACATCACATTAGCTAGACCAAATTTTAGAGATATCTTAAGATTGAGTATCGAGAGCACTTTTGCGCAATTTTCATTGATATGTATCTCATTTACGCCTTTGGAATGCAAGCGCCAACCGCGGATTTCGTAGCCACGAAAAGCTGCCGTGGAAAATTCATACCCATGTCACAATCCCTCAATCATCAAGACAAGCCCCAAATTTTCAACCTGAATCGTTTAGACGATGGCAAGCTTGGTGGCAGCAATGTCAAGGGCGTCAACATCTGGTGTCAGGCGGGCAAAGGCCTTCTTTAAGCCGTCAGGTCTTTTAAAGGTGTTAGCTTGGTCACATATATAAATGCTACAATTTCCACATACCGGATAAGAGTGTTGATCTTGACGGTATCGATGTCATAAAGCTTCTTCAATGCCTCCTTGATTTGTCTCTTGTTGGCCTTGACATCGACGATGAAGACGAGGGTGTTGTTCTCCTCAATCTTCTTCATCGCACTCTCGGTGTTGAGAGGGTGGATGATAACCTTGTGCTCATCAAGACGAGGTGCGTGAGGGATCGACTTGCGTGGGTATTTGGGCGAGCGGGAGAGGACGAGGGTCTTGGGTCGGTGGAAGGTGGTCGACTTGCGGACCTTGCGGACCTTGTGGGAGAAGCCCTGATAGACATTAGAACCAGACTATATCAAAAAATTGAGGTTACAAAAAACTTACGCCCTTGAGTGCGGACTTCGCAGCAGCGTTGGCTTGCTTGCTACCCTTGCCTTTGGCGGCGACACCTGTAAAAACTTACGCATCAGCAATCGCTCTTGAAGAACTCGCAATATCTGCTGCTGCTGGTGCGCAAAACCCCTCCACAAAGCTGGCGCATGTTGATCGGATTATGGACCGAGAATTTCGGAACCCAAAACGTGCAGGACGAATTCCGACAACATGGCGCTTCAATGAGGAGGGCAGAAATTCGTTAGAAAGGGCATTGTACCTTTCTTTTGTTGTTCCTTGGGAGCCATGTCGAAGATGTTGTCGAGGTTGTCGTGAAGATTAACTGGCCGGAGTATTTTCGCTGGAAATATTTCAGTCAAGGTCAAAACTTTGTGGGAACCGAAGCCCTTCTCGCTTAATTCCTAGCGCATCGCAAAAGTTACGATAATATGTCACGTGCACCAAGCTGTGTCTAGAACTTCGAGCTCGGAATTTTCCTCGGATTCCGCAACGCAATATCTACCCTTGGGTTGCAACATGTCGCCTCTCCAAATATGGCCACTAAGAAGAAAAAGACCAAGCTGAAATCAATATCTTCTGGTCGTCCTCCTACCGTCAAACCCGTCCGGTCAATATCCAGCAAAGCCACGAGAGCACTCATCCGGACTCATCATACTCTTGAAAAGGATAGGGCGAAAGCTCTCGCAAAGGGCGACGATGCAAAAGCGGAAGCTATTGCGAAGCAAATTGAGCTGAATGGGGGTCTTGAAGCTTACCAAAAAGCAAGCTTAACCGGCCAGGGCAATGACAGAGGAGGAGATAGCTCAAGGATTCTAATGGAATGGTTGAAGCCGATTGTACCAACGTTAAAAAAGCAGGCTGGGGATGGGGAGTCACTGCGTCTATTGGAGGTTGGGGCTTTAAGTCTCACGAATGCTTGTTCGAAGAGCCGCTTGTTTGAGGTGGAAAGAATCGATTTGAACAGCCAGGCCCAAGGAATCAAGCAGCAGGATTTTATGGAACGGCCTCTTCCACGCGATCAGGATGAGTGTTTCGATATCATCAGCCTCTCTCTCGTTGTCAACTTCGTTCCAGATGCTGTGGGTCGGGGAGCGATGCTACTTCGGACTATCCAATTCTTGAGGAGCAGAAAGTACAGTGAAGGACTTGAAGACTTCTTGCCTTGCCTTTTCCTTGTCTTGCCTGCCTCTTGCGTAACAAACTCGCGGTACATGGACGAAGGACGGCTAGAAGCTATTATGGAGGCTCTGGGATTCGTCAGGGTCCAGAAGAAACTTTCGAACAAGCTTGTGTATTATCTGTGGAAGATGGGGACGCCGACCGTAAAGCGGAATTTCGGCTTCAAAAAGCAAGAAATTCGGGCAGGACAGGACCGGAACAATTTTGCGATAGTCTTGAAGTGAGGTCTAATTCTGGGGATGAAATTGGCATTCTACCGATAGGGTAGCAGCCTACTGAGAACGCCAAACACCAAGGTCTAGAAGCCCGCCCAATCAAGTGCTGAAAGTGGGCGGGAAAGCTATGTACATGCTCCGTACAATAGCAAGAGATTTGGAGAGTCGGTTTTCGGCCTGCAAATGATTTAGTATATAGTCATAGAATGGGCTTGGAACTACGACAAATTATTTTTAGAATATACGTCCATCCCGCAGTTTCCCGATAGCGTAGCTCCTACTATGATTCTTTATCAACCGTCTGCCAAAATGCCGATAGTAGTTAATTTATTTCGTACTGATAATGTGGCGTTGGTGGCGAATTGACCAATAAACGTGACATGTCTATCACGATAAGAGCATAGCAGCAGTGCCCCGCCGGCGCGATGATGCTTGGAGTCTTGGAACCTGGAACCTGGAACTACAGGGCACTTGCAAATCCGTCACGGGTCCTCCTCTTCCTGCCAATGCCTCTCAACTCATTTGTTTTGTCCTTGACGCATCTCTGCCCGTTTATTAAGACACTTTAAGCTTGACAATTCCTCGTTCATCTGCGGTTCATTGTCTGGCAAGAATCTACACCTCCGATTAACTGGATGTATCTGTCCCAGGTGCTATCATGCCTCGGAACCCAACAAATTGGGACGAATACCAGTATGGGACCTCCCATTCGGACAGAGGCTCTGTAGGCTCTGCCGGAGGTCGAAGCTTGCGGTTCAGCGAGCAGGAGGACGTATCCCCTCGTACTTCTGGTGCCCAGTTGGACGCGCCGGGAAATGGTACGCGTCCCATCCAGAGACGAAGGTAATGGGGTTCCAAAGGTAGTGGTTGTTTGGCCGCATACTAACTAAGCTCCAGGTCTTCGATAGCTCTCCGTTTGAATGGTCTTGCGCAAGTAGGAGGGGTGAACAGGTACGTTTTTGTATTTTCATTTTCCTAACATACCTCTTGCTCCTTCGAACTCCTCTCTCATGAGACCTATTCTAATATACTCTAGTATCGAGAACTTTGCCAGAAGCTGGACCCGAGCAGCAGGCTTCCCAGAAGTCGCACCTCAACATCAATCTTTTGTTTATGCCGACAACGAAGCCGCGGACGGGCATGATGAGACTATAGACTATAGAAGACAAGATCCGGAACATAGCCGCCTCCCTCGACATTCCTTAATCGGAGCACATCTTGAAGCTTCTGGGGCTCCGGAGAATGCTATCGATGATGAATCAATCGCCCCCGAAAATGAAGCCCATCCATCGCAGCCTTTGCTTCACAAGGAGTCAGCTGGGGTACTTGGCAGTGATAGGCCTAGCAACCAGGGAAGCGTGAGGGGTAGCCAGTCTATCTTTGGTATGGGCCCGAACCTTGCAGGAAGTTATGGAACTTCATATGGAACAATGCAGTCCGTTCTCGATGAACCGTCGATGAACCGGGCTGCCGAATTATGGAGACAACAAGAAGCTGCTGCAACGCAGTTAAGTGAAGGCGAACGTGAGCCTCTGGTGCTTAAAGCAGTTGAGCAGGATGGCAAAAAAGTCCTTGTTATTGCCGGTCGATCGACTCTGCCCCAAACGATTTTCAACTCCACCAACGTCCTTATCGGCGTAGGGCTTTTGAGTCTCCCAATGGGCATAAAATATGCTGGTTGGCTGTGTGGGATGGGATTTCTATTTCTATCTGCTGTCGTCACAGCATATACTGCAGGGATATTGGCCAAATGTATGGATGTCGACGCGAGTCTCATCACATTTGCCGACTTAGCCTTCGTCAGCTATGGACATAGAGCCCGGATAGCAACTAGTGTGCTATTTATGTTGGAGCTATTGGCAGCATGCGTTGCGCTGATAGTTCTATTTGCAGACACCCTGAATTTGCTGGTCCCCGCGATTGGTATAACTCAGTGGAAGGTACTGTGTGGTCTTCTTATGATACCCCTGAATTTCCTGCCTCTCAGGTTGCTTAGCGTTACCAGCGTCATTGGAATTTTTTCATGCTTTTCCAGTAAGTTTATACATTTTCTCCCTTATTGTTATTCTCCAGAAAAATCAAGAAATAGCCCGGGCCGCGGGCACATCCTCCTAGGTGCCATAACTATTGATTATCTATGCCACGGACCACCCAAGAAACAATGTTTCCAAATATGCCAAATCGAGCTCATAACTATGGCTTGTCTAGGGGCATTCGAGGGCAATTGGAATATCCTCCATGTTGTGGCATGAGCTCGTCTGCCCATTGATCTTTACGTCCGTTGCTTAGCCAAATTTTAGGGGCGGAGCCATAACATAATCCATACATTTAAATTATCATTGCTATTCACCTTACTAAGATCATTTAGTCGTCCTAATCATTTTCATCGACGGCTTCATAAAGCCAAACGCCCCTGGCTCCCTGCGTGAGCCAGCAGAAACCCACCTATTTCCACAGAACTGGCTCACCCTGCCGATATCATTTGGGTTGCTCATGTCTCCCTGGGGTGGACATTCCGTCTTCCCTAATATATATCGAGACATGCGTCATCCTTACAAATTTAAGCGGGCAGTTCGGGTCACATTCAGCTTCACAGTAAGTCGTAGATGCCCAGTTTCGTATCCGATGCTAATCCAACCTCAGTACCTCCTAGACTGCCTCACTGCTGTAGCCGGCTACCTCATGTTCGGAGATGGGGTTATGGATGAAATAACGTCAAACTTAATTGGAACTCCCGGGTACCCACACGCGCTATCCGTCCTCTTGACCATCTTCATCGCCATAATACCGCTCACCAAACTCCCTCTCAATGCTCGCCCCATCTACTCCACCATTGAAGTCCTCACCGGTCTAAACCGGCGACCAACATCTGAACCATTAGCTTGGTCCGTTAAAGCGCTCAAAATCGCATTGCGTATCTTCGTCATCGTCGTATTCGTGGTTATATCCATCCTATTCCCCCACTTCGATAGCATAATGGCGTTCATGGGATCTGCGCTCTGCTTCGCCATCTGTATTATACTACCGCTCCTATTCTACGTCAAGATCTTTGGGAAAGAGATCAGTACTAGTGAGAGGATGCTTGATTACTTTTTGATTGGCGTTTGCTCCGTCATGGCTGCCGTGGGCACGGTATGGGCTTTCTTGCCGAAGAGCCTGATTGGCACTGAGTAGGAAATTTATGTTTGGAAGCGGGTTTAATACGGAAGTAGCATGAAATTGATAGTTGTGGCACATGGTAATACCTATGGGCGGTGGTTTGTTTACTTGCATTTGAAGCGATAATCACATATTTATATATATACTGAGCGTTTGGGAACATATTTGCATTGTTACGTTTTTATATACATGACAGCTTACCAGCCATTTATTCTCATTATAATCAGCAATGAAGTTAGCAACGCATTTTCCTATTCCCCTTGGAGGGATGCATCTATATAAACTTAACCTTCACGACTAAATTCTCATCCGCAATTTTCACATTGTGCTTCTTCCATTATCCCGCCCAATTCGATCTATAATATGTACCTGATAGCGAACCTCTACAACGCCATTGTTAAATCTCCGCGTCCCTGATGGTATATATAGCTTTTATTATGGACGGGTATCCAATGCATAGATAAGAGGAAAGGAATTTTAACTTATTCCGCACTCTTTTCCTGAAAGGGTTATGAGCATCAGGCGATAGGAGATGTCTTCTGCCGTGTATTATATCACACTTCCCAAGCGGGGAAAGAACGTTTCGATGTTGAGCTTTTGTTATCCATCTCATATATTTAAGGGGCGAAGGGCTCTGAGTCATTGAATAAGGCGGCGGTAGGAGATATTTTGAATGCATTGGGTTGTATTCATACTTTTAAGTGAATACGAAACTCCACTCATATCCCCACTTTCTCAATTGTGGTAATATGCTAGGAAAGAGACTTGATGGATATTTGCATCTTGACCCGAATAAATCGTGTGCTAAAGCAGTCTCCTTCCTCTTTTAAGTAAATAAAATATAGCTTAAGAAGGAGAAGGAACCAGACTATGGTATAAGGATGGATGTCCTCGGACCCTGAAAGAGTATTATTATACGTAAAGTATACTTCTATCCTAATACACAGGTGTATTTTATTACTTACGAGCAATTTACGCATCGCCCGCTTCAAATAAGAAGGTGGATCGGTCAATCATACTCCATATTCCCTAGCCGCATATACTTCCACTTTCAAGACTAATACATCATCATCTACGTTGATTGCCACTTCTGTAGCCCTTGATGATCCTAAACTAGTCCTCTGTGTGCCATTATAGATAAATCTATAATTCTACGTTATAAGGCATCGAGCACATTAATTATATCATATAATAATATATACGCTGGGGATTGTGGGGGAGTGTGGATGGAGTATTAATAATGTTTTGATATGGCGAGGCTACTTCTTAGGTTATGGTAGAGGAACCACCTATGAGACTTTATAGGGGTGTTTGTGTTAGATGGGCGTTGGTAGGAGGTGGTTTTATAGCTGAATTTTAGTGGCATTGTGTGTTGGGTTTTTGGTTATAGATTGGATAGGGGGTTAGAGGGGGAGCTGTTAGGAGAGAGAGAGGTGGGATATGTAGAGTAAGAGAATAAGAAAGGGGTGTAGAGTGTGCTTTGTTGTATGGTCTAGGTGTGTGGTCTTTAGGGAGTTCATAATAGACGGCAAGAGAGCGAGTGTTTGTATATTGTGTTTTGATTTCTTCTATTGTGAGATTATAGTGACAAAACCCAGAATATGAAGCAGGCGAGCCTCATTACAGAGCCCTCCTACACCTCCCCCTTAAGCTTAACCTCCTCAAAGCTCCCCACCAAAATATTCCCCTCCCTCTCGTCCCCACTCAACGGCACATTCCCCTCCCTAACCACCACAAAGCTCTTCATACCCGCCCCCTTCGCAGCCTGCACCTCCTTCACATTATCGCTCAAAAACAGCCACTTCCCAATATGGACGTCTCTCGTCTTAGCGATCTTCTCATAACTCTCCTTATCCGATTTAACACCCGCATTCACGGTATCGAAATAGTCGCTAATCAGCGATCGGAGATCCGGTGTAGGCTCCGCATTAGTGTACTGGAAAAGCAGCTTCTGCGCGGCCACAGAGCCGGACGAGTATATGATGATGGTTATTCCTGCGGCGTGCCATTTCTTCATGGACGGCGCCACGTCTGGGAAGAGCGGGCAGCGTAGTGAGCCGGATGCGTAGCCTTGGGTCCATAGGTATCCTTGGAGGGATTTCAGGTAGGCGATTTTTACGTCCCGCGACATGAGGTCCTCGACGTGGGATTGGAGGGCTTGAGGACTGGTGCGGTGCGAGGCCGGGAAGGCATCCCGGTAGGGGGTGAAGTTGGGGTCATCCCATTGAGTGGCGAGGACGGAGGGTAGGGCTTGGAGTGCGTAGGGGAACTAGAGAAGAGAGAGGTACTTAGTTCTGCGTTTGCGTGGGAAGCGCGAGGAATTGGTTGGGGGTTGGTATCGCGGGGTACAGCGCAGGTGATGTGATGTGATAATGATGATGCTCTTACTGATGCTGATGCTGCTGCGGGGTGAAGGTAGGGGCCCCTTTTTTGAGTGGTGAGACTTTCACCTGAGGCTGGGAGGGCGGAAAAGGGGATACATGATAATCGGTATGAGATAATGGTGGAAATTGCAACCAACGAGAAGGTTGCTCAAGCCATAGGAGCTGTAGGAGCCCGTCCGATGATGGCCACGATGTCAATGCCGCTTCCCCCGCAATGTCTCACTCGTGGAAACATACAGAAACACTGCACGTACTACATACATCAGGGCATTGACCAAACAGCAAATAGATATGGAGGATCTTCCATCCCTAGCGGAATGCAACCAACCGACGTGTTGGGTGTGGCAGATGGTTTTCTTTATTCTGTGATACCGCACCACTCAGGCCCGTTGCAGGGTCGTGGGGGGTATGCAGATTGATGCAGAACAGACGAATGCACAGAACACAAGTGAGAATAGACGGGCAGGAGTGGCGAATCAGACATTGGGCTTGGACTTCCAGCCTTCACATTGAGGTGACGGCGCATTACCACCTGACCCATCAACCAAAGCTGGAGAGCGCCGAAATTCCATTGCTTTTTCCCAGCCACGATGTTTACCGATCCGCGCCTTGGAATTCGAAGACAGCTGCTTGGACAGGCTTTTGCTTTTGATCGGTACGATCCGACGACGACTTCGTCTCGTGCCCCAGAGATCTCCTGGAACTAGTCATATTTTGATCTGCACATTCCAAATCTTATTGCGGGGAAAAGCTTCGTTGTGGCGGTTTCAAGAGATGAGCTCTGATCGAGATTAAAAAAAAGAAACATAGCCACGACAACCGCGCAAGAGAGAAAATCAGATAATCCCACCTACCAAAACATCTTTAACGAACGATATCGGACAAACCGTTCCCTCTGCACACATCAAGCAGAAGTCAGTTTTCGATCAGAACACGTGACCGGCATCAATCCCATGATTTTCAACATCGAGTCCGACAGAAGTCTTCTTCGGGAACACTGACCGATATCCAGCAACACCACCTCGACATCCTGCAGTTCAGCCATCTTTACTCGTTTTCTTCCCGCCCCGCTGCAGAGAAAGCCAAGCAAGCTACCAGGAGCTCGGTGAATGGGACTCTGATCGCGTCACGTACGTCGGTCCGCGTCTCCCTGGGAGAAAAAAAACCAACAAGAAAAATCTCTTCGTTTGTCTTTCGCAAGGGCAAGTAAACAAATGCCGTTATTGATTCCACTCCCCGAGGTCCAGACTAGGTTCAGCCGGAAGCGGTGAAGGGGGGATAATAATCGCGATCGTAAGTGCCAGTTTGCAACCCTCAGAACTTCAGGACGGGAATAGCGCAATCCCGATAACCAGTGAGGAAGGGGTCCTCGGAGCAAAGTTGACTATGGTGGTGGAGAGATTATGCAAGCTGCGAACCTGTGTGCGTCGCTTTGGAGGAAGATAACGGTTATTGGGCGCGGTGCACGAATAGGATGGCCGAGGTTTAAGATTGTGATGGCGGTGAGTGACGGTGGTTGACGAGTTAGACTTTTTTTTCATACTCCGTCGTGCAATAAAGTGCCAATAATACTCTAATTTGATGGGTGTCGGTCGGAATGCAGGCGTATGGATCGAATCCACTCAGAAGCTGCCCTGGTCGTGCATGCGGAGTGGTGTTCGCCAACACATAGTATTGCTACTTCGTACTATGCTAGGTAATACCAATACGATGTACCGGTAGTACGAAGTATGTACACATGGAGACGCTGTACTGGGCTGAACTGGTACACCCTGTCCATCCCCGATTCCCTTTTCCTGGTGTTGAGCGGAGCCAGCAAGGCTGCATCATGGCAGCGCTGTACGCGGTACATGGCCCAGACATACTTCTGACATACATTACATGTGCAGTACGAGGTACTGCATTAGTACCATGCACGTGGCAAGAAGCTCTGTCTCCCCTCTCTCTGGGTCTCGGTGGAGTCGCCGAGGCATGCATTGTATGTAGTATGGGTATTATGTTTACTTACGAGGGCAGAATTTGATATTGGCTCGGATAAGGCCCGATACTGAGTTCTTCGAGTGAAGACATTTTGTGAGACAGGATGAAGAATCTTCAAAAACAGAGAGAGACACTCACCCAACGCCACTGTACGGAGTATCTATTCCCGACGGTTGTGTGTACTATCTGCTACCTACTGTAGGTACGAAACGAGTGTCTTGCCGGAATTCTCCCCGTTGCTCATGAAACGAAACTCCCTACGGCAAGTAGCCAGCCGGCGTGGGGATAAACAAACAAGTCCCTTATCATTGTTGTTGTTCCAGATTACCTACCTACCTATAGGTATGAAGGGACCATAGCACCGCAGATCAGAACCCCTTTTTCCCGGAGAAGGCATAATGCAAAGTACCCGTACATAGCAAAACCCGTTGCTGTGTTGCCCGGCCATGCGATATGATGCTGATGATGATGCTGCATCTAGGCAGGTTCTAGTTACACAAGATCAGCGCTGCTGTGCTATGCTGGTTGGCCCGGGTATATCGCTCTGTTTATGTTTCCGCTTGATGTGATGATGATGGCATTGTTCGCTCACCAGTCATTTGATGGATCTACGTGTTCGGTTTCTGCTTATGCTCTGGTATTGATTGATTGATTGATTGATTGCACCTTCGATTATATCATATCATATCATATTATCATATCAATCAATCAATCAATGGAAGATACCGTACTACGTCAACGGCAGTGCAGCGGTGGCCGACGGCTATCGCGAATCGCTGTACTACGTAAACATCCATCGGATATCGCCCATCAACCAACTCCCGGTGGGGCGATTGCGATGATGCGATTACGGATAATGAGACGGATTCGCTGGTTTCAGCAGGTTTTGGCGATCCTCGATTAATGCGATTTTGTTGGATGGTTATCTTTGTTGGGTCCTTCGATACCGCTTTCTTCTAAGGACAGGAAAAATGATAGAGTTTATATTATTATTATTAGAACACCGATGGATATGGTACGTAGATGCTGTGCGGTTAGGTGGCGGTCGCAGGAATCCCTACTGCGTACAGCGGGGCGATTTGGACTTCGAAGCGCTGAGGCTACGAAGCATCAGCATATGATCCTCTCCTAGGTATCCAAGGAGCAGCAACTCGATACGCGAAGACGCCATCATCCCTCACGCTCGATTCGTCTGATCGCAAAGGCATAGCAACAGTTTGCGGACGTAGCACGACGGTACACGCCATTCATATTAGCCTCTGCAAGTTGCAAGTGGGTCAGACGTTATGATGATGACCGCCAAAGCAAAGCAGCCACGGCATTTATTATTCCAAGCCCAAGCAGTGCCACTGTCCCAACCAGTCGTGCACACAATCCGTCAGATAGATGAGAAGGGGGTCGGCGCGTGGCGGTGATAGGTTCCCAGGGCCCTTTTAGCCAGCGCCAGAACAATGCTGACTCCTGAGTCCCGAGTGAGTGAGTGGTGAGTGGGTGAGAGAGGGCATGAAACATTCCTGGGCGGGTTTTAATCATTAATGATAATATGATCGACGAACTCCGTATGTGCTCTGTAGTGGTCTCAATGCGATGCAGCTGGACTCCTGGAGGGAACCCGACCTGCATAACGCTTCAAAGACATCAGTATGGCGCACTCGTACTGCAGTGTGTGTGTGTAAAGCAAAGTATAGCATGGCATCACCGGCACCGTGCTTCACGTTGCTCGATTGAACTTCGCCGGCAGTAGCGGACGGTTTCATGTGGTGGGGATGGCGAGATCCTCCGTTGATCGCCACGACTCGCGCTTCAAGAGTCAAGTCTCATCGATTACTGTACAGGAGTAGTACGAGTAGTGGCCAGACTGATAGTTGCACACGTACGAGGGGACAGGCTGGACAAGCTCAGGAACGCCTGACCCCTTGGTTGATGGTGATCGCATTTCATTATGATTATCATCCGTGCTCGGGGTACACTTACTGCACTAGCAGTAACACTGCCCTATGTATATCTGGGAACTGGGGAAGAAGGGGTGAGTGAGGTGATCTAATTTGATGACGTTGCGTTGCGTTGCGTGTTTGTCCCCAACAAGCATCTTGTCGTGGAATGGAATGGAATTTCGAGCGTAAAGAAGCCCGATTGGGGACACTTCTTGCGGTACTATTGGATGCTTCTTACGCAATTACCGGACTCTTCTGCTATTTCTTGGGTTTATGATCACGCGACCTCCAAGAACAGGAAATTGGGAATTTGGCCGTGCCCCTGAATGTGGGCAATATTGCAATGTCTCAGAGATGTTTACTTGTATTTCACTTCGGACACACCGTACTCGTATTGGGGGATTGAAACGCAAGTGCAGGTTCCAAAGTACATGTACTGTACTGTATCTACCTACGTGCTTAATTAGGATCAAATCAATTGCATCATCAAGCGCCCTGAAGGATGGACGACCAGCCAACGTTAAATAAAGTCGGCATATAGACAATGCAATGCATGAATGCGTTGAGGCTTGTTGAAGGAATCGGAAGGATGGATTAGCAGCCATTCATTACATCCGTACGTCCTCCAGCGGCGCGAGCCCGAGCCTGTGGATTGGGGTGTTGCAATAGGGGGATTCCGGGGGTTCCGTATGGCATTATTCCGCACATAGCACGAAGCATTGTGGCCTGGATTACCTGGATGGAGGGAAGCCAATTCTAGACGGCTGAGCAGAGAGGACAGGTGACATTGTTTTTGTCTGAGAGTCTGGCTATTGGCGGTCCACACTATCGTGAGATGAGAGACATGACAAAGACAAAGAGCCGTTGAACTTGCAACTCGGCATTGTGCCGCTGAGACAATCATGGTACGTGCGGATGGCGGGGGACATGTGAGTACCTGACCTAGGAAAGTACCTTGGGAACCTAGGGGGCTGTACAGTACAGTGTGGTTGGCTTTGATGCACGACTCACGAGTACGGAAACTAATTATTGCAACATAAAGACTATTAGAGAGCTTGGGGGTTGGTAACGACTAAAAGCCGCGCAAGTGCTTTGTAAAGAGGAGCGGTGGTGGCGAGTTGGAAGTCTAATAATACGTGGTCTCATGGAGTACCTAGGTAGAGAGGCAGCTACTGCGGATGGCACGGAGTGTACAGCCACTACTGGTGATTTAATAAGGTACCGTACTGTACAATAGCGAGGGTGGCAAAGCCCCCGATATCGCTCGCCATCAGCCACGGGAGTTGCTTTGTACTGTAGGAGGAGTACTCCAAGGCTTGTGGGTGGCAAGTACGATTGGTGTGTCTGTCTCGTGTAGTGGTGTTATGGTTGTTATGGTGCCTATTGTTGTGGTGGTTTGTTGTGGTTGTGGTTGTGGTTGCTGTCCCAAGAGCATCCAGACTCCAGTCTCGACAACTGGTACCCGGGACTGTTTACTTTTACAACTCCAAAGTCCCAAAGCCCACAGCCTCCAAAGAATACCCAATCCAACCATCGACGAGCTCACCAGTCCACAGCTGCAACTACTGCACCCTCCTGCTGCACCACCTAGGGAGTCCACTACTACTGAATATGCAGGCCGGCTGCAGGCTCCAGGAGAAAAGACTGATCGTCGAGACTCGAGAGCGCACCACGAGTTCCACATCGGTCCCCAGTGCCACGCCGCCGAGGGCGATAGCCAGGACCCCCCAGGCCGCCCATCGAAACGGATGGAAAAGAGAGCGTGAAGCCCTTCAAAGCAGCGATGGGCAATGGCCGCCCAGCCTCTGCTGGCGCTCGCCGCTGTTTCACTTCCTGTGGCCGTGACTGGCCCCGTGGCCCGGCGCTGGTTGCTCTGGCGTTGGCGTGAGCTTTATCCGGAATGAGGCGTCTCGCTGCTTTGTGCCCAAACCGTCTGGCGACCGTCATGCAAGCAGGCAGATGGCGGTCAAGCAGCAGTTCGTGGTCGTCCGTCCAGCAGATGCCAGCGCTCTCGGGCGGGTTCGGTGGCCACCAATGCCCTTCACGGCGGCTTCGAGCCTGGAGGAGTGCTGAATAATGCAATGGCTCCCAGATTGTACCAGATGGTACCAGATTGTACCAATAGTACACTGCCAATAACGGGTACACCGCTCATAATACCACCCGCTCACATTGTTATTCACCCTCCGCCCATCCAGCGTCCAGCTCCAAGCACTAACCTTCCCACGCTTGCACAGTGGCAGCCACTCACCTCGTCCCAAAGTGCTCTAGTCCCTTCCTCTCTGTTCTCTGTTCTCTGTTCCCTCGACCACTCCATGCACCCAGGCTGGCTCTAGTCCGCTTCGGGTCTGGCCGCCAGTTGTTGTTGTCTTCCCACGTCTTCCCTCTTCGCTCTCTCGAGAGTACACATCCCCATCCCCAACATCATTTACACCGCTGCGTATGGTTTAAGACCCCGTCACAATCTGTACTCGTTCGCAGTTTCTTTTCCCCTCCGCCTCTCCTCGCCCTTCTTCTCTCCGCCCGTTGCCTACCTATCCCTCCATCACCTTCACCACCTACCTCCGCCGACCTTCACTTCGCTCGTCAACTCGCACTCCTTCGCCCCCTCAGCTTGCCTCCCTGCGTCATTTACTGCCCCAATCTCCCTCAAACCACAACACAATTTGCTCACCACGACAACAACAACAACTCCCATCCGCCCTTCAAGCTTCCGGATACGAGCAACTGTTGTAGAGACATCGAACCGATTACGTCTTCGCTGCTCCACGCTCCACTTCTTTCACGACCCACCGTCCTCCAGCTGTGCTCCATCGAACAACATTGCTTCAAACCAGGCAAGCGGATAAGGCAGGCGAAGAGCAAGCTCTTCGGCTTCCGGGTCCATCGAGTCATCCTCAACAACACATGATTTCCAATACACAGTCCGAGACTGTCTCCAGATAGACTGGCCTCATCAATTCAATCCCCTCCAAGTCGTCGTCATCTCTACAGCCTCGGTATTGGCTCTTCCTGAGTCACATCACAACATCCCTTATCCACACCTCCCCCCCGGAACCATCCACTACTCCCTTCTCCCATCCTCCCGGGCCAACGTCTTCCATCACCATCAACGATAATACCGACAATACCGTACAATTGGCATCTTGTCGATTGTGCTGCATTGACCTCCTGGTTCGATCCGTCCCCTCGAACCCAACCCATCTCCACCACTTTTTGACAACCACAGGTAGTACGCTCTGGTACTCCTGCTGAGGCTCCATCCATACCTCAGATCACTCGTTCCTTATCTTCATTCGACTTCCATGTCACTATAACGATTTCCACATCCTTTCCTTACCGGACACTTCGTCCTTCGTCACTCTTACGACCCCTCAACAACATCTCTTTTGTCCTCCAGTTCGAATACCCATCAATGAGCCTCTGACCCCTACAACGATACATACCGGAGTTTTTCAACAGTTACTATTTTTATTTCCAAAGGGTTGGGATCGATCTATAGCGTTACCTATTTGTTTATTCGCCTCGTCCGATTGCCCTCCGCCCGCTCTCCCACCTCTTCTCCGCTTCGGATCTTCAACCATCACGAGCATCGCTCGCTGTGCCAACACCTGTTTAGAGGAGACGAAAAGCATTTCCCCAGTGTATTGATTGCTAAGCAAGTCTTCCGGGCCAAAAAACATTTTCGTTGTACCAGTATATCGCGCGTCGTTCGATTTACATCTATATACTTAATCTCTTTCACGACGGACATTCTACGTCCGCCGCCTTTGCAACTTCAGTTTTTCAATCCGATCTCATCATGGAATGTCTTCGGGAAAGGTTCTATGATGGCGTCATCCTTGACGGCCGCTTCGAGACTGTGTCTCCCCTCAACCATGGCTCCTTCGGCATGGTATTCATGGCCAAAGATCTGACAACTGGCGACCACGTCGCTATCAAATGCCTCACCAAGAAATCTGCCAGCAGCGTTTCCGACTCCACATTCGCTATTGACGAGAAGTCCGAAGAGCTTGCCTGCCATGCTCGTCTTGGGTCTCATCCGAATATCGTCAACCTCATCCATTCATTCGAGACCGAGGCACATCTCTACATTGTTCTTGAGTTTTGCTCGCGGGGTGACCTCTACGAGGCCATCCGTACCGGAACCGGTCCTCTCGAAACAGAAAGAGTCCGCCAATTCATGCTTCAGCTTGTCGATGCCGTTGCCTACATTCACGGCAAAGGCATGTACCACCGGGATATCAAGCCTGAGAATATCTTCTTGACCCAATCCGGTGACATGAAGCTCGGGGATTTCGGACTGGCCGCCACCGAGGAATGGACATATGAGACCACCGTTGGCAGCGACCGCTACATGTCGCCGGAACAATATGACTCAGCAGGTGCCGGCTACTCGCCCGCTCAAGCCGATATCTGGGCCATCGGCATCTGCCTCTTGAACATCTTGTTCTCTCGCAATCCGTTCACAACTCCCACCGAGTCCGACCCTCTATTTCTAGATTTCTCTCGAGACAAGGAATCCCTATTCGATGTCTTCCCGACAATGTCCCAAGACACGTTTGCCGTCATCACCCAATGCATGAGCTTGGATCCCCGCAAGCGCTCCCTGAGTGGTGTCCGTGAAGCCCTCTTAAGTGTGGTGAGCTTCACCACATTTGACGAGACCTTGGATGACTTCGATTCCGCCAAGCAACATATCGTTGCCAGCTCCCGCGAACCACTCCGGACTCCTTCAATCCAGAGCCCACACGTGGACCAGGGTTCTTTTCCCTGGGCCAAGGCTTTGCACGCAAGTCCTCCTCAGCAATTCCGCCAACTGTCAGACATCCCCGACGATGAGGATTACCAGTCAGAAGATCTCTTCCCGAGCTCAGAAGAGAGCGGCAAGGACTGGTTCTCCGTTGGCGGACACACTCCATCTTTGGCATCGATGCTCGATTCATCTCTTGGCTCCTCGATGATGTCTCTTGCGATCAGACGACCTGCCAAAAATGGAGTGCCCCGTGCAACCCGCGGCATGGTGTCCGGCTCTCTGCCAATTACCATGTCCAAGCCTAAGCCATTGCCATCAATGGCCTCTGTCTTTGGTAGGAAGAGTGACACCATGTCCAAGAGCTGGAGCGACCTTTGGGATGAGGAGGAAGAAGAGGAGTCTGAGCAGCTCAAGGCCCGTCAAATTCAAAATGCTCGAACTTGGAGCCATGAGAGTGAAGCTGATGAGGATACTGTTCGCCTTCCTCTCCAGCCAAAGAGTCCCTCTTTCATGAATACTGCCAAGGTTGATCAGGAGGCATCCCAGACTGAAATATCCGACATCGACGGCGATATCGTTGCCGATGGTTTCTTTTTCCATGAGACCCCGCGGAAGACGGTTGCCTCGCAGCATTCGACCACCACCCCTCGCTATTCACCACCAATCAAACGCCACGCTTTCGATAAGTGGTCGGCGCTGGGAGATCGCAGGCGAGCATACATGGGCCCAGCCGAGTTGGAGAAGTCTCCGGAGTCATGGAAGACTCGGCGCAATGTTGGATTAGGCTTCGCAGGGTTTGGAGCCGGAGTTTGGGATAACAGAGGGAACAACACACTCGCTATGGATAAGGGCAAAGAGTGCCCATGGATGAAGGAAAAGGACAGGGCCCGAGATCGCCAACGTCAAAAGGACTCTAGGCACAAAGATCTCGGTGACCTTGAGTGGGTTGGGGGTTTCACCGACCTCCACTTGTAGTTTGGCATTTTCTTCTTTTTTCTTCTCTCTTTGCACTGACTACGGTGATGCTGTCGACTTGTTCGGATTTACTTGTATATCATGGAACTAGTTGTCAGATTTTGCATAGGCAGGGAATGGAAAGGGAAAGAAAAGATATATATGCTGGAACTCGCTTTTCTGCGTACTAGATAGCTATCCTATCTTCGGATGAGATTCTTTTAATACCAGACAATTACCCACTCTAAAATATGTTTTCATGAACTCTCGTGATTAATAGGTTTAATTGTGCTAACTAATATGACCTTGATTTAGTGAGCCGAGGCTATTCAAGTAAGGTCTCTAGGTACCTAACTAGGTAGGTAGGTGGTAAATAAAGGGATTTGGTTAAAAGGTTACAGTTGACCAACCGGTTCGCTTCCACCCTTCGTTTAAACCCCCTGAAATTGACTCACGTGACTACAATACCCCTCGTGGACCTTAACCTCACCTCGTCCACTCACTCACTCAAATCATTCAACTCATTCATCCAACTAACCTCCTGTTACTTCCGCTACCCCCATCTATCTTCTCATCTTTGCCCCTATGCCCTTTACAAATTTTCACACTACTACCTCACTCGCAAGCTATCCTCCTGTGGTATAACCAGCTAAAATCAATAGATAGCTAGGTGGTCAGGTAGGTAGGTAGTAAGTATGCCAGCGCAAGAAAGCCGGTTTGGGCCGCTGAGTAAAGGGACGGAGGTTGTCGCGGAGTTTGCGGGGAGGGTTGAGGGAAGGGTTTGTAAGTTGGAGGGTTTCTTAGGGATTTTGACGTACCCGGGGGGAAGGGTGAAGGATGAGTAGAAAGGGAAGGGAAGTGATGGGTAGAGGTGTTTGATATGTTTTTATGTTTTTATGTTTGGTATACTTTGTGTTTCGGTGAGGAGATCTCAAGTGAGGTTTTTGGGGTGTGAGTTAGTGACTGACATACCTAAATACCTGTATAGCTAATGGGAAAGAGAAAATGAGGTGGAGGGGTGTGGTGAAGCCGTAGGTGAGGCTACTCCATGGTGTTGGGTATTGGGTGGATAGTCTCAAGTCAGATTGTTTTATTCATATTGACATTTTATTCTCGTCTTTATTTTTTAATTCTGCAAAGTCCTTATTTTAATTAATTAATTTTCTATCTTATATTTATACCCCGTTCTATATATGTACCCCCCTTTCCAAGCAAGCTAACAACCACCCCTCCACCAGTTCTCATAACAGGCGTATCCCCCTCCTCCCTCGGCGCTCAACTCGCCCTAACCCTCTCAACCCACTCCCCCTCCCTCCTCATCCTCGCCTCCCGCACGCTCTCCAAAATCCACCTCGTCACCACACACATCCTCTCCATCCACCCCTCCGCAAACCTCGCCTGCCTGCAGGTAGATTTCTCTGACCTCGATAGCGTCCGCAAAGCCGCTGCGGAAGTGCGTCGGATTCTAGACAATCATGGCCCGGGCAGGGGAATCGATGTGCTGTTCAACAACGCGGGGATCAATATCTGCGAGCGGTTACTAGCACCTGGTAGTGGCGTGGAGATGCAATTCGCGACGAATCATCTGGGTCCGTTCCTTTTCACTAACTTACTACTGCCCCTGATCCTCCGCGGGGACCTGGTCCCTTCGGGGATGAAGAGGATCGTCAATACAAGCAGCGAAGCCCATCGTATCTCCCCCATACGCTTTAGCGATATCAATCTCGAGGCTGGGAAACAGGTCCCGGATGAGGAGATGCCGAGGAAGAATTTGCCGGAGGGGGTGTTGAGGGGTGGTGGTGCGTATGAGCATGCAGTTGCGTATGGGCAGAGTAAGACTGCGAATGTGCTTTTTGCGGTGGGGTTGAATGGGAGGGTTGGGAAGGGGGGAGTAAGGAGTTTTGCGGTGAATCCTGGGAGTGAGTTTTGGGTTTCGTTTGTTCTGTTCTGTTCGGGCGTTTACTAAGTTTAATGTCTAGCTATCATGACGTCTCTGGTCCGAGATCTCGATTCCACCGCAATGGAAAGCCTTATGAAGATCCCTGACTGGAAATCCTTCGATCAAGGCATCGCCACGATGCTCGTTGCCGCGCTGGATCCTGATTTGGACCGTGAGTGCCTTTCCCCTTCTAATTATGGTATATGGCTGATGTGGATGGGTTTCGGTAGCTGTCGACGGGGTCTATCTGGATGATTGTAGGCAGAGGAGAGCGGCGAAGTGGGCTGTTGACGAGGCGGCTGCGGAGAGGTTGTGGAAGGTTAGTGAGGAGTTGGTGGGGGAGAGTTTTGGTGAGGACAAGGGGAGGTGTAAACTTTAATGGTTGGGTGGGGATACTTCTGGTGATGGCGATGGGGATGTTAGGTTTGGAGTTTTGGAGAACAAGGAGGAGAAATGAGGAAGTACATGTTATGAATTTCTTGGATTTCCAACTCTGTCTACAATTTGCTATTAGTTGGCCTATGCTAGGTTCTCAACGATATTTATGATGTAAGATATTTCTACGGACAATCATGAGAATATTGGCTTAGATTATCTAGGGATGAAGGGACTAGCTTCCTGAATCAATCATCCGGTGTTGGCTCTCTAAGATGGATTTTACTTTTGATGTGAGGAATGGCTAGAGAGTCGATGAATACTTATATAAGGGTACAAATTTCGCTTAAAGTTTCTTCATCACCTCGCTCTACATTCTGTTCGGTGATCGACGACTTGCCCCGATTTTGGGGTCTCCTAGCAATCAGAGCTTGAACCCGGCCTTTCACAGGGCTTGGAAAGTCGCCATCTCGGGTATTAAAGCCACGATGCCGCATCCCTACTGGAAGAAACTAGCTGTTAATTGAGCCTGGTTTCTTCCTGAGATGTTACTCCAGATACTTCGCTATATGTCGGAGGATTAAGAGGGTGATTGGAGTCTCACACTTACAAGTTATTGCCGACTAGGACTCTTAATCAGCTTATTGTATTGCTCACAGGTTTTCTTCCTCTCATTATAACTCGTTATCTCCAGATCAGTATCACTGAGCGTCGAAATTCCTCGGATATGTTTTGAAAGGTCCGAAACTGAGCTAAAGTTTCCGTGCCAACAGTTACTGATGATGTTGTCGATTGGATTTTGAGGGTCTGTTAATGGGAATTGACCGTCTATTAAACGGTTTACACCCTATGATCCTTCAAACTCGGTATAGAGCTCAGTTTCCCGAGTCAGATACCAAAAGTCAGATCCCAAGGCGAATTGCTCGGTAGCTGGACCTACAACACCAAACGTACCACCCTTTGATCCGATCTTCTGAGCCCTAACGTAGGGTGCATCACCAACCTCGAGATCGGCCCCAATCTCGAGAGCGTGGTCGAAATCAATCAATTTGAGCTGATCATCATTGTCGAAAAGAATATTTCGAGGATTAATATCGCCATGTGCGTACCCAAGAGATTCTACACAAGCCACCACATCCGCGAGTTGTTGTATCCACCGCAGAATAGCACGCGGCTTGATCACTATAGTCATACGTTGGTAGAGTGTTCCATTCCTAAGGAGCTGTATAAACGTGATGTCGGGACAACATAGGAATACCCGGATAACGCTGGGGCAGGATGCTTGGTCGAGTAGTTCAAAGATGGTTTACTCGTGTCGCAAGTATGGGCCGCCAGGCTTTAGGGACACTTTCGCCGCAATATCTTCTGATATTGAGAGCAAAACCGAACACCCATCGATACCGAAGATAGACGAGCCTGGAAAGACCGTAAGCAATTGTTCGATAATAGGGTTGAGGTCGGCTGCAGATGTAGGCGATGAGGAATGGCGCGTGAAGCTGGGAATGAACTCGCGCAGTGTTTCGTATGTCCAACTTAGCCTAGTCATTTTGAGTAGCAAAGGAGAACACGCGATAAAAGCAGGTGAAGGTCGTGTGTGGACGAGATTTCGCGGTTTATAAAGCCACCGCCTCGAATAAATTGTTGGTCGAAACTCGAGAGGGGGACAACCCAAAGGGGGGCACGTGGTTGAGTTTGAGGACTGAGGAATTTGCACCGCTGTTTTACTGTCTTAAAGGCCTGGCTAAGGAGTTGAAGAGTGTTATTTTTCCTATTCCCAGGTTTCTCTTTACCAGGACCTATAATATCACATTATGTATAACGAGATGATTAAACCTTACCCAAGGGACGTCACATGAGTATTTTGACCAAGGCACTCTAATAGCCGCGACTACTAGACATAATCATGTCGGATAGTAAGTAGCTTTAGGCCGCTCTACTATTAATTTACTAGTTTGATCTAAGGTAGCAATCGGCTATAAAAGGGCTAGTAAAGCAAGAGGAACCAGGAAAGTGGGAGAAATTTGGACAGTTTGGACGTGGGCCTGACCGTTACCTGGCTCTGTGTAGCTGCTGGGTACCCCTATGTAGACTCTACTCTACTTCGCAAGGTGGACATCAGAGGAACCTCAGCATTGTGATGTCACGTTATTCACGTGACGGAAACACCTCGCTGAGAGCTACGGCTTTTCTCTGCCCTCACAAAGCCCCGACACAACCCAACAATCAAAACATGCCGCCACGAAAGCCCAAATTCAAGATCACATGGTGGATGCGACTTCGGTCGAAGATTCGGACTTTTAACACCCCACTATATCTTCGGGATAGCATCGTGCGACTCCGGCACGACAACCGTCACCCGTACTTTGCACTATTAAAGTTGTTCATTATACACCTGCAAATGCCATCAAGGAACTGGTCTTATGACTATCCACTGCCAGAGCCACTTGCCCCTAAGGATATTGCAGATAATGAGGCTCTCTTTAATCGCCATCACCCCGATATCTTCCAACTGAGATATATCCCCATATGGGCCATACGCGATACCCCTCTCCGTGCTATCTATCGCCTCTATGAGGTACTAATGACGCGCGAATTTGTCTTGCTTCGTCTCGAATGCGAGTATATGTGGCGTCAGCTCGGCCGAAAATGGTCCCTACATTCAATACCAGATCCTTGTGATCCAGATCCTGTTCGATACGCTATGCTGGCTTCCACTGTTGAGGAGTTAGTCAGGGCTTTTAACTGGCGCCTTCAGCATGGCCAAAGAAGGAATGGGAGGAATGTTCGCAGGAGTATGGAGAATCCTTGGCCTAAGTATGATCCGGAAGTCACGCCTTCTTGGACAGCCTCTGTTCCTCCTATACAGGAAGAGGATCTGTGCGAGCTTCCTTCAGACATGGTACAAAATGGTCAACTATTTCTCGGAGATGGAGGATGTGAGAACTTCATTCGTCGAAACTTTGACGCTCCTACGCGTTATTTATATACGACATGATGCTTAGTGTATCCGACGTCTATAGCCTATTCGCCTCTCCATTTAGTTGCTAAACTTGGAAGTTCGCATCATCAAAGTTCTGGATGATCCGCCTCGAGGTGCTGCCTGGACTTGTCCTTGGGAGGGACCGAGCCAAGCAGAGAGGTATTGGTTTACCGTAAAGGCAGCCGTTTCACCACTAGTTGTTTGCGGTGTGGTGCGTGCCGCCTTCTTTTATCGTGCGTTCGCGGCGATAAATTCTTTTACACGGGTTTTGCTACTCGTACGAGTCCCTACCTTTGTGAGGTTGACTATAAAAGCTGCCAAGGCCGCTGCCTATAAGGTAGCATGGGGCAGACGAGGGCCATGGGGGTGGTGCTGTGTGTTTGTACGCTATTTCCAAGGTTTTCCCTTTGGTTCGTGTCCTCGACGGCACCTCAAATGCGCACGTCTTTATGATAATACCCTGCCTTTTTTATGTCTAGCTGTGAAGGAAAAACGCTGGTATCTATGTATTTTAAGGTCCTTAACCTCCGCTTTCCTAGGGCCTTGCCGCTGGCGTCCTATCTTTAGCATTGGAAGCTCTTAGAGCAAACCGTACGTTAGATTTAGGACCATCATTCTCGCCCTCCGACACCGGCCCATTTTAAACTGCTAAGGACTTGGACTCAATAACTCTGAACAACTGTAATGGCTAGCTAGTACCATTAGTGATTTGGAGGATAGTGCTTGGTTCAAAGTGGCTGGGTTTCTCTATAGGTTATTACAACTTCAGCAACACCTCATTTGCTTCCTTGTTCTCGTAGTTATGGTCTATTAAGTTATTCCAATTAGAGCTGCTTTGAATTTTTAGGCTTTCATTGCCGTGTCAAAATCTACCAGAGCTTCTCGATGAAAAAGAAATAACCTAATGACTCTAAAAGGTAGATAGCTGGTTAATGGCGCTTTTCGGAAGTTGGCATCTCTGTAGACTCCATTGTAGATATGTCTAGTAATTGCTCACCTATTCTGTTTAGATATACAGCGTCCTAGATACGGGAGAAACTGATTATTATTGAGGCCCTACTATAGTAGACATCTTGGAGTAGATAAAAAGCATCGCAGCAGGCTTAATGAATTGCTAGAAGATGAGGATGCTAAATAGTGAGAAATTGAGTTGATACTAGAAAAAGTGAAGGCGAAAGCAGCGACCCCTAAACCTGCCTTAGTCAAAGGCCCTTCTAATTACGCAAAAGTTTCATCGTCAAGGAAAAGTCTAATCGCCAATCGCCAAGTTCCAAAATCCGCCACACGTTGATTGAAAGGACCTACTTCTTCCTATGTCTCTTCGAATATTAGGTGCCAATTGCCAGTGTACAAATAGCAATCTTGTCCTGGTCCTTCATTCACAACCTCGATGTAAACTCAATCCTGCTCTTTCACTTCAATATCATTTACACCGTCCACTCTAGCACAGCGATAATAGGTTGAGCCATCGCTATTGGTTTTTGATCTGACTATCAGTTCCGTGGGGATATATTTGCTAGTGGAATAGAAGCCTTGCGTGCTTTCCAGAGCTGTTGGTCCTGTGGGAGAGGCTTTAATAGGACACTGAGCAGGCATGGTGTATGCTTTGTTGTTATCAGACACCTCCTAACCGCTGGAAGTGAACAACTCCTCTTTGTACATGTCCTGGTACCTAGCCGCTACCTTCTCCATATGATTGTGTTCGGGCACCAAATCGAAACCATTCAAGTTGAGATTTCGAAAAGATTCCATGTCCAAAGGCCCTCCGTTCGCGTCCCTGAAGTGCTTGAAAAGAGCCAAAGCATCTTCCATATCAACTGTCTTACTTCCTCGCTCCGAATACGCAGTCCTTCTAAGCTTTCTTTCTAGTGCCCATTCAAGTGGAGCCGCCCAAACCCTAATTGACTGCCCATCGAAGAGGAGTATGTTCTGCTCATAAGCTCGCTCAAAAATGGTCTTGCTAGCTGCTGGGGTTGTCCAAATCTCCAAGCCATCATTCATCCAGTCGAATTCGAACTTCTCCTTCTTCGCCACCGACTTTATTGCAAATTTACGCGGGAACTTGATTTCATCATCTTGAGCCCATTGAGGATCAATCATGTAATCAAGGTCCCCTGTCGCCTCGCGATTCTTGAAGTAGGTCACCGCGAGGTAACCGCCAACAGTGACGACGTCGATCGGTGCAAAGGTGGCGAGGAAATCGTTGTCGCCCATTTCGTGGTCGAGTCGCTTTAGAGCTGCAATACATCATCAGTGTAGCACGGTGTAAGTGGGATCTTACGGCACCTGCCTTTCTCGAAATCGTTGGCATCCAGTAACTTCTTCGTGTCGGAGACCATTGCGATCGTGGTTATGGCTTCAGCTTCGAGTTTAAGGATACAGGATAAATTCAAAGACGCCTACCGCTTTCATCTGGAGAGAAGCAGCCTCATTTCAACTCATGGTGATCAAAACTCCTGCTGGAAATATAGAACCCTTTATATCTTTTTGAATTCCGAAAGTTGCGGCCCAGGAAACTCTCCATGCAGTGATAGCATCCATGTACAAGGTTTGGCGTATAAATATAGACTGCAGCTGGAGATAGAGACCATAGAATCAATGATGCAGCCGGCACAAGTTGGATCTACCTTTGGAAGTGGGTGCTGAGACTAATGCAACCCTAATCTTGGCCCCAAAGACCTAGGCCACAGCGTTATGCCAGCTTCCAGCGTTCCATACAAATCGTTTTTATATTTAGTGCGACAACACCAACAAACTCGAAACAGGTAGCCATAAAGGTCCTTTCTATTAAACCAATGATTCTAACCAATTTAGCTTCTTTAGTCTTTTTCAAAAAGTACCCGTTGAATTATAAGGAAAGTAGCGTAACGCTGTTTCCTACCAAACCGGAGGTGCTTAGTAGGTCTCTTGGGCTACGATTACTTCCTGGGAACAAGGCCCTACTAGGTACAGTATGTCAAGGGCGGATAAACCACACGCCTCCCGAGCGCTAAATACGTACGCATGGCCTTTCCTCCATTCAAGAGTGTGTCATCTCGCAACGAATTAACTTCTGTCTTTCATAATGACTTTAAACAGTAACTCAAGAACGATTTGTTGATCGTCCTGCTCGAGAAGTGAAGATGCACTTTTACCGATAGATATTGCCCATTGCTTTACCACACAAACTGCGTAGTAGTTGGATGGATAGGACGTTGAGATTTCGGTCGCGAGTTTTAGGAAATAGGGATACAATAGCCCAAGGCTCTTTATTAGTTCTAGTCAAGGAGGATGGCTATTTCGGGCTGTGTTTTCTTGTGCTATCGACGGGGATGGCAAGGTGAATGTGTCTGAAGTGTTGGAAACATCAACGGACGTTGATCCTGACTTGTTGGTTTTGGTGATCCGCTAATTGGAGAAGAGGGAAATAGGGGCTTATAGAACACCGATCCACCTGTTCCTCCATATGAGAGTTCCAGATCCTTAAGTAAAACTCTTATATTAGGCTTTGCTTGTAGCCTATTTGTGATCCGCTGAGTCTGCGTTGTTCCATAGCCCCTAAACTTCCAGCCTGGCGAGAGCTAGTCCGGCAAGCTTCATCAGGAAGCAGGCTCACTGCTAGGCGCGCCTCTATCTCCATCTCCTTCCGCTTCCGCTTCCGCTGCCTCCTTCGCCTCCTCCAACAGGCGATATTTCCTCTTACTCTTCTTCGTGGCACTACTCTTCTTCTTCCTCTTCACCTCCCCCACAACAGCAGTTCTACTCTCTGCCCCTTTAGTCTGCTGCTCCAATCTATCTGCCAACATCTGCCGGGCGAGCTTGCGGTTCTGGGTGCGTGAGCGTGTGGATTGGACCTTCAGGACGAGGCCCGTAGGAATGTGTTTCAATTGCACCGCGGACGACGTTTTGTTCTGTTTTTTCGGCCGTTGGGTTAGCACTTATATTTGACCAAATTACGGAGCCATGTCGGATAGCAGCAAGTGTCTGCGAGGGACATGACGTACAATCTTCTGTCCGCCAGGCCCACTGCCTTTTAGGAAGACCTCTGTAAATTCTTCCTCGGGCGGGGGTTTGGGCCTATCCGGCATCTTCTTTCCACATTTTGCGGAGGATACTGCGAGATTTCGATGCGCTGTGCAGCCTTTGTTGACGCTTTCAAGGGCTGGTCTCCGAAGAGTAGCTCGAACAAGTCCTCGGAACATGGTACATTTTTGGAGCTGATGGCCACTGGATATCGAAGCTGTTGAGGGCTTCCTTCCAATATGCAGAGCGTCCAGTGCAAGCTTGGTTTAAATGTCCATTTGCATGCGCTTGATTGATGGAGAACAGTACTTCGGACTTGGGTACAAGCACGGGTCCTTTTTCAGTGGCCGTCGGCTTTCGCCCCTTATCCGCGCCGAGGAATTGGACATCGCCAAGCCTAGTGGACCTCCATGGGCCTTTAATTATTGCCTCCTCTTCCTCATCATCCAAGGTATTTGGATTCATTCAACCTACCCATCGTCGCTCATTGCAACCCGCATCCACTGCTACACCGTGCCAGCACGAGATCTCGAAGCCAAACGGTCCATTTCATATCCATACCACTTGTGCGATCCCGATACCAGCCAAAATGCCTATGTTCGCGTCCACCTTCCGCTGGCTGCAGCGCAAGAGGTACCAGTACGAGGTATGTCTTCAACAGGCCTTTCGAATGAACTCTAGACACTAACAGTCAAAGGTCACATTCTCCTTATACATGTTAACCCCGACCGAGAAGTTTATATTCAGTTCGTTCCCCCAATCTCCTCACTATCCTTCGTCCTGCCCCCCGATAACGGCCCACTTCAGTCTCATTTTGCCCCAAAGCCTATTACAATCTCCAACACCACTGCTAGCAAAAGCGAGGGCATAAACTAACTATCACCACCAGACTCTTTCCTCTTCCTCTTCTTCAGCATGGTCATAATCGCCTTGACTCTCTATCTCCCCCACCACCTGACCTTCCTCACCAACCGAGCCTGGTTCTACTACAACGGAGACGAGAGCGCGAAGTCATCCGTAAATGCGGTCCTGAATAGCGCGACGACTGCCATTGCACCTGTTGTGGGGGATTCGAACATTTTGGTTGCTCCGAAGGGGTTGTAGGACCGGTGGAGTGGCCTTGTGGGAATTCTGCGGCGTTTCTGTAGAAATATGCTTGCGCGAAATATGCGTTAATAAAGAGAAGGGTGGAGTTTGGAGTATGGGTTTGGGCTTGGGATGTAGAATATTATGAACGAAGGTGCGATGTAATAGATAATGCCAATGAGAGATTGTTGAAGTATGAATTTGATTGCTCATTTGTCTAATCGCAATATCATTGTGGCAAGGCTATGTAGCGACGAACGCCCCAGCGGACAGCTAAACTCTCCTATGTATCAATTTTTATCTTGTCCGTGTTTCGCTAGCACCGGCCAAATGTTTCATGGTACTATACATCAACTCGCTAACACCCCTAACTCCCTTGCTCTCCAAATAGTGCAATACACCCAGTCTATAATCAGGCCAAGCTAATGTCAATCCGCCATCTTTCTCGAGCTGTTTCAAGGAAGCTTGTGTGACTGGGCCCCGATGTGTGCGTTCAATCTCATCTTCTGCGGCGACTTCCAGCTCTCGAACGTATGAGATAGCCAACAGGCAAAGTACCGGTGAGAAAGAGAGACTGAATAACGGCGGGAGGGACAACGATGTCCCAAGCCCTTTGACGTAATTGTCTAAAACTGCAGCGGTGTTTTTAGGTAGCAAGCAGCCGAGTGCATTCATATCTGCTGTGTTGAAGGCACGCCCTCTCCAGATGCAGTTGCAGACATCCATAAGAAAGCCATTGAATTGCTTGACGTAGTCCTTTGGGTACGATAACGTGTCGCTACCCGAGGTATCTCCTATTCTCGGGGACATAGCAGCTTCGAAAGCGTGTTTGTAGAGAGCTAAAATTCCGCAAAGACGACTAAGAATGTCGAGGGACTGCGTGAATTGAAGAGTATGTATTAGCTCTGCAGGGGGTATGGGAATGCGCACTAAGTCTTTCAAAGTGGGCTGGGAGATCATAGAGGTGATGGATTCATAGAATTCTAAGACTTTCGAGAGGGTGGAAATACTAAGAGAGCATTGGACGATAGTGGTGGCTAATATATCGGCGTGGGATACTAGGGAGGTAATTGTAGATGCAGCACTGGGTGATTGTTGAGGTTGCGCCAGCAGTAACACCGTCCAGCGGTCAAGTAATTTTCTGTAAAATGCCAGGAGGTCGAGCTTCGCTTCAGTAGTCTCATCTTCGAGGATGGCTTGCTCGACTGGTTGAAGGATTGATGGGTAAAGATCTATTTTGCCCAGAATGTGAGTTTTGTACTTTTATACGCTTTTGGAGAAGACCGACCTTCAAATGGACTAAGGGGGGTATAGCAGAGAAGATCAAGAATGGCTGTGCGGCCTACAATTCCATTCCAGGAATCAGCCATCGACTTGATATACGCGAAACAGGCTGGTGGTAGTATCTACTAAGTTGTTAGTAATATTACTCGAGTATCGGCGTTGCCATAATCAAACCTTAGTATATTGAGCATAACTCCGAACACCCTCGAGCATCTCTATTATCCTAACCTCGGAGGATTCGGGATTTTGTAGCTGATCTTCGAAGAAAGCAAATAGCCAACTATCCACTCGCTGGTTATAAACTTGAGAGGATTTGAGCTGCAAGAACTTCTGCAGCAGAGGATCCCCTATAACCGCGGCCAACTGGTTAGGCGGCTCAATCTTTTCAAACCGTTGAACAAAGTCATGTAAGTCTTCTATTTCTTCCAGTGTGACAGAAGACTGGGGTTATGTTAGTAAGGATCCACTGCGCAACTTGGGAGTGCAGCTTACTTCATGGGCATTGAACGTATGTACTTGGGGTATTGTAGATGTTTTGGCTTGCTTTCCGCCGGTTATATCCCTTCGAGGGCCTCCGAATGCTCGCTGATTAGGTCGCAACTCGCGTTGCGTTCTCTGGAAGTGTATATCTTGGATCTCCTCTAGGTGTTGGCGCCATTCAGGATTTGGATGCTAAGCATATTAGACGTAGTTTCACACTGCGTTGAACATCTACCTACTGTAAATACCGATGCCCTTCCAGATACCATATCGCCAATAATCACATCGGGGTAATAATCTTTGAAGACTCGCATGAGCCCGACAAGAGGTGGCTCCTTTCCCGCTCGCCGGATCAATTCCATTCTTGGCACACATTAGAACTGCCACCACGATATATGTAAAATATGACATACAGATATTGTATCCTATACGGTCGGACATGTTTCCGTCTAGTTATAAGGGAGAGCACGTGACATAATTGTGATCTTAAGATTATAGTTACAGGTAAGCATAGGTATATAGGAAAGAGAGTTTGATATCGCAAGGCATGCTTACCTGATGGCAATTGTGTCAAGGAGATTAAACAAAATGCTATAGAGTTGTGACAATATCTTGGGGTTTTCAAGAACGCCATAGACCATGATGAGCCACTTCACTAGAGCTGCCTGGGCATTATAGGAGGGTTTGGCCTGCCCATGACCAAGGCTGCCGACTATCTTAATCACGATAGTATCCGGAACTTTGGTCGCTGGATAGAGGTTCTTGATCAGCCCGTTGGTGCTTGTTTGGTCCAGCTCGTTGGGGAGCGTGATGATGTCGAGGAGTCGATCCAGCGACGTGTTGGACAACCCATCTTCATAGGCTATTGTGCATACGCTCTCTACTTTGGCAGATACCTTGGATTCCCTTTGCTGTGCAGGGATCTTGGAGGCTGTTGGGACTGTTAGTCTCGCTATTTGACTTCACGAGTACAACGCGTCGCCCACCTTGCTCTAGACGGTCAATCAGCTCTGTGACGCCTTCGTCGCGTGGCGGGGCCATTGCTGCGTGTTGCGATTCGAGGATGGCATGCGTACAAAGTATGGAATCACCAAATTTGCTGTCACATATCACAACGCCATCACCAACATTGTCGATCGCCTGCTCAGATCTGTTTGTGTAACGTGGAGGCTGCAGGATAAGTGCTCGCTTCTCCCCGATACCTAACACTTTTACCCACACCAAGACGTCCCCAGCCAACGTCCAGTCCAACGTCCCAAGCTCGCCCAGCGAGACTTACATGTCGAGGAAGCACAACAAGCGTACACAGTGACACCGCTAGCATGTCAAACATTATCAGGCATTGGAAAGTCAACGTTGGGTTCACGAGAAATCACGACAGCAGAGTCAAAAGCCACGAAGCGCCCAATCAAGTTCTCCTCCCGCGGATGATTCGGAGGCCCTTGACACTGCATGCATCCTCGGTGGGCTGACCATTTCTGAGGATGCTGAGACTTGGCCCGGATGTATTGGAGAGTGCTCTACGATACGATGGTGGCATACGAAAATCCCTTCAGAGCGGGTGGTTAATGGGCCATCCAAGTCGCGATCCAGGTCTACCCTCGGTCGGTGGTGTCAGATCCAGCGCCAGAGTCTTCTCCTTGGGCTGACCAAGGCGAGAAAGACAGGACGGTCCGCTGGCCCAGGCCGCAGTTGTGCGACCAGCTGACGACCTATGGAGGTTGCAGGAGAGAGAAATTGCGTGGGCGAGAAGGATGCAATGTGATAATGGCACTGCAGCCCGCAAGAACCTTTGTTGAATAGGGGGAGAATGAGGCGGTGCAGGAGCAAGGGCTGGCGTGCGAATACAGAAGAGTACTGTATTCTCGGACCTTTGAGGCCACTGTTCCTACCGACCCAGGAGGCTAGGTAAGTTCGCTTTTCTTCCGGCGTATTACTGTCCTGCTGCTGTACCAAATGGTCCAAATGGCCGCAAGCGACAGCGAACCAGACTCCAAAGTTGGGGCGCAGATTACGAACTACGGTGAGGGAACACTCCAGCTCTTTGCGGCCGGCCGGGTGTAGTCCAGTGGCTCCATTTTGGCGCTGATGGGCCCGAAGGTGGAGGGACGCGTTGCCACAGGTATATGTATTGGTATCTACGTGCTGGACTACAAAGTAAGTACCGGGCCATGAAGTCCTCATAACTTCGCGGAAGGCCTAATCCCAACTCGCAAGTATAGTACATGTACATGTACATGTACGAAGTACATCGCATATCTCAAAACATTATATTGTGCGACAGCCACAGTTTAGATCTAGATCTAGCACCAACTTCGCTCTCCCACCCCTGGCGGTCCTCGGAACGGTGAAACAGAGACAGCCGCACAGCAGATTTGTTCTCGGCGCACAACCTCCCATTGTCGAGTTTCCTGGCGCATCAGACGCTGAGAAAGCCGTTCACCCCGCCGCTGCCCCCAAAACACGAAGTATTTGTACGACGTCCTCCGTACCCTCCGTGATATTCAAGCTCCTGGCCCTCAATCCCAAGATGACGATGCTGACCAAATTCGCTAAGGCGTCTGTTCCACTGCTGCGGGTTTTGGACAGGCTTTAGCGCTAGAGATTCAGGGTCCACCAAGTCGCCTCCTAAGTGCAAAGGTATGTATTGGTTGTTAAGGGAGCCCTTCTTTAATTATCCCTGACCTGCTGAGCAGCAGCCTGGCCATTTACTCCGCATCCGCGCCAGTTACACAAGACATACGAAGTAGATTAATGTGACACGGAGCGTGGCACTCGACGAGCGCTCTTCTAGGGTGGCGAACTAATTTCAGGCTCTTTAAAAAGATACTTGGCCGCCACTTACTGAACCACACCGAAGATCCCACCCCACGTACCACCAAAACCTCATGTCTATGGAAGCACGTGTACACTGAGACTAACCATTGAGCTCGAGAGGCTCGCAGTCCGTCAGCTTGCTGCTTCTCGAATACTTTTTTGTGGCGCTTTCGCCTCCTGTCAACTTTGGATTCACATGGAAATCGAAATTTTGATTTTATTATCCGGACATCGAGTTTGATTCAACAAAAACCCCAAAATTATCCGTCTAATTTACCACTGCAAACAGTTCAGAGAACAGGCTAGAGACCGTGCTATCAGAAAATATGATTAGTCTGCAACATGTCTAAACATTCATAACAATCCCGGTTCGGATTTCTCGCGTTATAACCGGGCATTGGGTTAGTCCACTGTTTACATACCCAAAGAAAACAACTTAATGCCCAACAGATGCCTTTGTTATTTCAGATATGGCATCATCACATACGCAGCAGTCCTCCAGTTCCGAAGACGAAGATGAAATGTAAGATCAGCTTCCCTAAATCTCCCGCTTTCAATAGAAACCGTCTCATTATATTAGGGACCTTGATAACCGGCCGGAATCAGGCCCTCTCGCAAGGCCCTCAACAACAGTGGGAAATGATGGCGCCTTAGCTGTTGTGGTTCGAGATGCAAATAACTGGCTGCAAAACATTAGATCTCTGCGGGAAGCGGATGTTGTCATCCTTCTAACGCCAGTAGTCGTTCCTATCAGTCCTGATCCGACGGATCTTAGCGATCCTTTTGAGCCGCTAGGCCGTTCATTAGCCAGAAGGCACTCTAGAATCCGTCAGGTACCATACACCCGAAGGTTAGAAAGCATGACGAGTAGATATTCTCGTTTTATTCGTGCTAACACGGCGCGACAGAAACGGCATTACTTCGACTCACCTTGGATTTATAAAAAGAGGCCATATTATTATACTCTGTTTTGCTCTTCGTCCTGGGGAGCAGGTCCCCCTTGAGTTCGCCGATATCACGTTTGCTGTTAGTGATAACAAGCCTTGCATTATTGTGGTTTGCTGTTCACCAATTGATGCCGCGCAAGTCATACCATTCCCGACTGTGATTCAGACGGCAGGATATTCCCCACCAGCCTTGGAGTCTACGGCAGCATTGATATTCGGAGAGCAACCGGCTGCTCAACTCGGCCAATCGCTTGACCAACCCAGATTGTGGCCCGTGGACCAGTGGAATGAAGCGAGAGACTTATCGAGTGTTTTGGAGTTATGGAATCAGAATATCAATGGTCGATTTACGCTCGACCATCAAACCCTAGCCTCCTTGCTCCGGCGCCCGGGATATGCAAAACACTATGTGGTTCGGGATAACAGAACGGGAGCGGTACTTGGTATCTGTGCGACATATCTAGCATATGTTGACAAGGAAGGGGAAAAGCTCATCGCATCACTAGCGATACTGCTCGTTCGATCTACACACCGGCAGCTGGGCATCGGCCTAAGCCTACACAGCCACGCAGTTAGTCAACTTAAAAGGACAAGAGGTGTTATACGTTTACAGCTTGGAAGCACTTTTCCAAGGATACTGTATGGTCCTCCCTCCGACATTCAGTTCAATGAAGAATGGTTTCGGCGGAGAGGATGGCAATTAAACAAAGATGTACCTGGGCAGGGGCAATCGACCTACGATCTCCTCCTAGATTTTGGAAAATGGCGATATAACGATCATTCATCTCCTACCAAGCCAGTTTTCAGGCTCTGTACACAAGAGGATATGGCGACAGTCCTTGAAATGGTCGAGAATACATCTGCAAGGCAGGGTAGGATGGGCTGGTTTGACCAATACGCATCCCTCATGAACATACCGAACGTCAAAGATATTGTTCTAGGGATTGAAGACGACAATATCATTGCGACCGCTCTCACATACACACCTTCGTGTGGCAGTCCGATCCCATCTAATTTGCCATGGGCAGGTCGAATTGGTGATGATGTTGGAGGAGTCACTTGTATTTGTATATCCCGTATGTATTTTCCTTACCTTGGCCTCCTAGCTTAGAGTTCGTGCATTCACCAAATATTGTGGGTGATGGGAAAGTTTCCCTGGGATTTTCTGGCCCCTTTCTGCGTTCCTATTAAGGAGTAGATAGTGTGGCTACAAGTTGTGGCCTGGCGACCGATTCTACATTCCAGGAACGCTGTGGACGTTCTGTATTTCCAAATGTTGAATTGCTGGTCATTATATTATCCAAGTACTAACTATGGACTAGAATCACCAAGAGGCCCAGTCATGACTGGTTTACTCAACGCTTGTATAGAAAATTTACGGAGTCAAGGCATGAGGAGGATGTTCATTGATGGTGTGGCAGGTGGATTAGATACTTTTAAACAATTAGGTCCGTTATCACCTATGCTTCAAAGTTGTTACTCGATATGCTGATTGTGATAGGATTTGAGGAATGGGCACGATACAGAGACGTGTGGAAGGACACTTGAGCATGTCCACTTTTCCAGCAACTGGCACTCGTTTGAGCTCAGCCCCTATTGCGAGGGTTTGGTTATTCACACCAACTCTTACGTCTTGATAAAGTCTTACTCTAGGGCAGACAATTCAATAATCTCGGCCGCCATACAACACACCGAGAAGAAGGAGACCATTCCCAATCAGATGCCCACCGTCCTGCGCGGAACCAGAGGAGGTTTGGTATCGGTCCGTTTGATCCTTCTTTTTCCTGCAATCTCATTGAGGATTGGACTTTCAATATCAAAATCGTATTGGAATAGCCGGGCTGTGGTATTTACCCGCCCAATTCAACCGGCAGCATGTCCCGCACTCGAGTTACACGAGGGAGAAGGTGCGGTTCAATGGGACGATTGGCTACCGTGAAACATCCCATCCCCGCGCGGCCACGTCCGTCTGCATGCTCCCTTCATCGTGTCTCCAGGATACCCGTTGCAGATTTTTTTATGCCGCGTCTCGGTAAGCTAAGATTGTACAACAGTGAAAGACGACCGTCGACCGCACTGGTCGACAATTGGGCCAACGAACTCGAAGTTAAGCTGTTGTTGGCATATGTCGACATATGTAGACATCCTCGGGCCAATCCCATGACGTGAAATGACATGGAAGTGTGCAAAAGTGGCATGCGCATACTTGTGGCACAGGGTCTGACTTTCAGCTGTTCGGCTATCTGACCGACTTTTATGTCTAGATATCGCAAAACTTCAGTTCTTGGTTTTCCTACAGTTTTTGCTAAAAAAACCAGCTTTTGTTAGCTTGGTGCAAGGCCCAATAAAATAGAATGCAGCTGAAACATACGCCACTGCCGATAGGTTTTTGACATCTACCGAAGCCATCGGGTTCACCGCTGAGCACGAGAGAAGACCATTTGCTCGCTGTCCAAAAGCCGGTGAATAGGACCGGGGTGCGCGTACCACTGTCCATATCTATTCCTAGATTTTGGGCAGCTCACCAATACGGCAATTGTCTAATGTTGTCTAAGTAGAGAACAAGTTGAAGGATTGTTGATCACTTTTTCCACTTTCACTAGTTGTCATGGAGTCCACGTGAGCGTTGTAAGGCAGCATCCGGTGTCACCGCATATATTGTCATCTACCAAGGACTGCCGGGAAAGCCCCAGGAAGCGTCTCGGTGTTGTAATCCACGAAAAACCAGTAGTGATAGCAGACAGCAGTGCAACGTCACATGGGAAAGAACCAGTACTTAAGGGTTGCCGAGCTATGGGGAAATACTAACAGACTACATCCTACCACCATTTGACGTCTCGTAAGGAGTCGTCCAAACTCAACCCGCTATTGGTATGTTGCCCGGGACTAGGCTTGCTGTATACCACATTGCGTCGTACGATCTTTCAAAAAACATATAGCTATAGGCAGTGAACATTGCTTACTAGTTTTGACACCGTTAATATACAGGGGTCGCTAAGGCTGCAGCGTGGTGTCCTGCAGAGCCATTGTTTAGATCTTTGAAACCTCACTGCATGACCCCCTCGAAGCCACCAGGTTGCCATTTCCTGAAGCGGCTTGGACCGTAATTGCCTCCAATGGAGGAAACTTTGTGATCCGAACCTCGGCCAGTTATATGCAGCTAACGCTGACAACCGTCTTAGCCGGGGCTGCAAGCGATCTGATCCTGATCATTTGAAGGATTGGGATGCGGCTCTTGAATCCTATAGGGCGGGAAAGTTTTTCTAGAAACGCTTTTCCTACTGGTTGGGAAGTGCGGCCTTCCCGTAGCTACGGGAGTGGGCTGGAAGGATGGGGTAAGATATATTAAATCTGTCTTCAGGATCTACCGGGTGGACTATTCTAACCAGGGAGGCCTGTAATGGGCAAGACCTTAAAAAAATCCTAAAGGCATGCGTTGGCAACATCCCGGTTTACTCTATGCTTGATTGGGGAAGTGAACAAGTGTAAAAACTAGGCAATATACTGTGAAACTTCTACTCGAAGAACGATTTAAATTTACCCCGTGAAAATGGGGAATTTTGCGTGATTTTTGAATTACTTATCATGACACAGAAGGCCGTTGCATGTTAGCGGCTGATGGCTGCAGCATGCACCAAAAGCCACCGAAATGCCTCAACAGACCATCTTACAATTTCTATTACACATACTTGTGAGACATAATAGTCTAATCAGAAAGAGACTCTGAGTCCGAATCTCCCTCCCTATACGGCGCAAATTCAAATTTACCGTCAACCTTTTTCATAAGACTCTGTTCAATATTAGCCTGTTCCCTCCCAGTAATCTTGTTGGCTGGGTTCTGGGCCAGTATTGCTAAATTCAACCCCCTATTGCTGTCTCGTAAGGTAGAGATAAAGTTTAGGATGCCGTTACTTGAGAACGACGTAACGGCAAGAATGTTGAGAGTGCGTAAATCGTGAAGTCCTGACATTGCAGGCCAAATATCATCCGTAACTTCGTAGCCGGTGAACCAAAACTCTTGCAGGGCGGGTAGGTGAGTGGCGATACGAATGATTTCACGACTCTTGAAATAGTCCGAGGTCGAGATGAGTTTCAAATCCTTGAGCTTCGTCAGGTGGCAAATGGACTCCACAAGATTATTTATATCATCTCCAAAGGCGCCTTCTGGATCCGCTTTTAGGTCCAATGACTCCAAGGACGTTTGATGCAAAAGGGCTTTGTGAAACTCCTGGTTATTGAGCAAAGGGTACTCGTGTACAACAAGTCTTTGAAGTCGAATATCATCTCGCAAGCAGATCTGCCGAGCTATCTCAGGAGCGCTGACCAAGGCGGCAAACTGAAGGTCACGAAGACATTTGCATCGTCCCAACCATTCAACGACGTCTAGAAATACGACGTTTTCGGTAATCTCCAAGTTGATCCGTCCTTCGGCATCGTGAAGGTCAATAATTTCAAGAGCATCGCAATCTTTTAGGAGCGAGAGGTTCTTGATCGCGTCGGCTTTTAAGCCATCCAATTTTAACATCCTCAAAGACTTCGCATGGCGATTCAAGGAAAGAAGAGTTTCTGGGCCAATAGCCGCCGCACCTAGCGCGGAAAATGACCGGAGGCTGTTGACTCTCAAACCACTAAAGAATGAGGCCAAGCGTTGATCAATATTCTGGAGAGGAGGACAAAAGTAGAAAGTCAAGTCATCAAAATTGGGGCATTTGTCGGCGATGGACATAGCAACATTTTTGTCCAAGACAGATCCGTCCCACAAAGTCATACTCTTGAGCTTCGACAGTCGGCCAACCCATATTGGAAGGGCACTGGCATTGATATCGCCGGAAAGATCTTCAAGAGCAACTGTAGTTTTACTCTCGCTTGCTGCCTGACTAACAAAGCCCGTTATGGCTTCTCCAATTGCCTACAGTGCAGTTAGCAGTTGCGCGGTCGATGCAAGTGGGGCATGAGTAGTACATCAAGTATAAGAGGAACGTTGAGGCGGGTATATGTGGTTTTGCTTAGTCTAGTCTTCTTCTTGACGGGTCTGTCTTGTCCGTTAAGGAATTGCGCCATATCTCCATCAAAAAAGCTATCGAGAGCTACGTTGTGGAATACGGGATCATTAAGAAGATCGGACAGGTTCCGCAGGTCGAGGACTCGGATATAGAGACAGTATGGATATGCCGTGTCCTCAAGGCTGGACCCGATAATTGATTTCCACATCAAGGCCCATTTGGCCACCGTATTTCTTTGCACATCTCTTCGATCGTCGAATGTAAGGTCTTGCGAGCTCGTCCATGGGGCATCGTTGCCTTCGCTGGTGATGATCGGAGATTGATTGTGAATCCTAGATTCTGTCAGTTAATTGTCCTAATATTGGGCATTCGGGAAAGATCTGTGCCAACCTATAAAGCCACCTAAGTGCAGGATGCATCAGAGATTTACCTGCCAGGGCACAGCTGAACAGTACTCCAAAGTCCTGTCGATTCCCGAGCTCCTCGCATATCAGTGCGAGAACATCTGCTGGTAAGCGCAGCATTTTAACTAAACCTGCAGTGCTTGACGTGTGGAGGAAGTGTTCCAGGTATGTGATATCAATTTATTAATCCCTCGGCAGATTTTGATATTGGAAGCCCAATGATACTGGACGTTGTGTAGGGAATGTGGTGTTGATGTGTACGGATTTGTGTACTTCCGCAGAACGCGGAACACGCGATGACGCGCCGTTGCGCGTTGCGGGGTGGGGAACAACACCCTAAACCCGCTACAAAGTCACTACTTTCAACCGAAAACACTTGAACCCTTTGGATCATGTGCTGTGCCATCTCAGAGAATAATAGAGTTGAATTTCGTTATGGCCATTTTAACCTTTACACTCAGCCCCGAAGGTATCGGCAAGCTGCATGATGCTCTCGCATGTCTTGGTAAATTCAGCGAATCTGTTTCCATTGAAGCATCTCATGATAAGGTCTGTGATGTGATACCTTGCATATTCCTTGCTCTAAGTATCGAGTTTGAGCAAACTGATTTAAGTTATAGCTTGTCTTGACCGCACTTAACTCTTCCAAATCCGCGTACGCTTCCTTCACTCTAGTTGGGAACAAATTCTTCTCCAAATATCAATATAAGCCTCTGAGGTCCGCCAATCCGAAGGAAAAGTTCAACTGTCGGATATATAATAAGGTAAGAATTGTTTTAAACAGATTTTAGCCTCGCTACGTTAGCTTATTGGTCTAAGGCACTTCTATCTGTTTTTAAAGCCCGGGTTGGTGATCCTACCAGGGAACGGGAAACCGCAATTGAGAGATGTGACGTCTCCGTTGAAGATGGAGAAGGCAACACCAAAAGCCGGTTTATCATTAGGATCATTTGTAGACACGGTATGATAACCAGCAGAGACTTTAGACTGTTAAATAACAGTGATAGGTGTGGTTAAAACATATCGATTGACTTTCGAGTCTGTTTCTCCGATGCATGCCCTCTTTGTCAAGGAGAGTGCAAACAACAGCTGGTCTATCTCCTCGAAAACTCTTCGGGAACTGGTTGAGCATTTCGGACCTGGTACTGAACAGCTCGATGTTTATTCTGAAGATGGCCGTGTGAGCCTTACAAGTTATACAGAGAAAATCATGTCCGGGAGTGGTCGAGCCCCCATTCCATCCCCTCTCAGAAGACGAATGCTAAAAATGAAATAGAGATTTTAAAGCAACCGCTTCATACGACAATTGCTATTGATACTCTGGAATTTGCAGATTTCTCGGTCGAGGAGCAGCTACACATCGTCATAAGTGTCAAGGATTTCAAATCAATCATCACCCATGCCGGTATCACAAATACGATAGTTAAAGCTCTTTATTCTCGCCCATCATGTCCAATACAGTTAACATATAGCGACGAGGGCATTCTGACCGAGTTTATTCTTATGACTATCGGAGAAGCCAAGGCCGGTTCAGCAACACCTGCGCCCAATGCTTCAAGGGCAGGCTCTAAAAGACCGGCATCAAGACAACCCCTTGAAGCAACGTCGAGCTCTAAAAGGGCAGCTACTTTAGAAATGCCACCTCCCTCGCACCATGGCGAACAAAACCGAACACGAGACAGCAGAAAAACCAAGGTTTCTAGACCTTCTCCACCACCTCCGCAGCCTAGCATCCAGTCCGATGCGCTCTTTATGCCCCCTGCCGATGATGACCGAAGATGGGACCCATTGAATTTCGAGGATGAAGATGAAATGTTACTCTGGGATACCGGAGCGGAAAATGTGCGCGCAGTGTCTCCTTTTGGCTCTAAAATACTGACTAATACTAGAACCCGACGACATTGAACTCGAGTCGGAATTTGACAGCAGCTGAAGCCGGGAATCAGAGTGGCAGCCATGGTGAGACCAATACCACAGGCGGCCAAAATAACCAACACACATCAACCCAGCGTATTCCACCAACTCAGCGACTGTCAGGGGTATGGTGTCCCACCTTTCCATACAGGAATCGAGCTAAACGTAAATAGATTAAGGGCATGTTCGATGATTGATGGCAACTTCGTGGGGTGCCAGTAAGCCAAAGCCGATATGGTCGCTCCGATATACCATCCTCTGATGCCTTGCTCCATGTATCAAGCTGAATGTTGCGCTGAGTGTGAGAGCTACTCGTGGGTCGAGCTGACATGGGAGGAGGTAAAGGAAGCCTCAAGGACGGAGTGCTTAGGTAAATTCGGGTCGTTCGAGAAGGGATCGATCGTTCAACCAGTAATGCAGATCCAACTCGTAGCACAGCCCGCCCCGATGCTTGCGATTTTGCTTTTGGGTGGTAGATACTGAGCTGAAGCGACTACGTTCCATCTACCCACAACGTCTCCGTTGGTGGTGGCGGGTCCGCAATTACCATGCTCGCCCCATCCCCAAGCCAAGACGCTCCCTTCTTTAGTTAACCCTAAGGCGTGTTCGCTGCCAATGGCAATTTGTGATAGATATGGTAGTCCCGGAGGAGCAAGTTGGCCATGATCATCTCGGCCCCACGATAGTAGATTGCCGTTCTCTTGCAATACAAATATGCTTCCCCAACTTGCACCCACGCTCTTCCATCCGCACATAGACAGTGGTGCTGAAGATTTCACATTCCATTTGTCAGAACCCAAGACAAGATGATCCCCAACCACAGGGTCCCCAACAAGATATGTGAATTCTCGCCCACAAACAGCTCGAATGACCTTGAAATTGATGCCCCCAATCTTTCGTGGAGTATAGATGATCCCTTCTGGCTCACCAAGCTGGCCTTTCCTACCACTTCCCCACCCATAAACATCACCGTTATCCATGACGGCAACTACATGGCTGACAGATGCCGCCAAGTCCACCACCTCAAGCCCATCCGGTGGGAAGTCTTTGATAAGTTGAGCTTTCGAGGAGCGAAAAAGCAGCTCACCCTGTCCGAGCTCGCCTTTGTTACCAATACCGAAGCTATATACTTTAGTAGAGCGCCCTTTCTGGTCTTCCTGGACGATAATCGAGGCTTCCCATGTAGCAGCGCATAAAACTGTGTTGGACTGAAGGCTTGGAGATCCCTCAGAAGTTAGCTGGACTTCTTGAAATTCCGAGTCCAGATATCCAGAATCCGAAACGAGACCACAAGCTCCACTGGTAGCATCACCAGAGCAGTAAAGATTTCCAGATGACAGTAAAAGCGTGTGGTTTCCTCCTGCTCTGATGAGAGGTGTTGAATTTGGAGTGCTGCACTTGAAAAGAGCTGGTTTCGGCACAGACACGTCTTCTTTGTGGCCAAGTCCAAGCTGGCCAGAGCCATTGGATCCTAGTGCATATATTGCCGCCATGATTATGATTAAAGTTGTTAACTTTTGTCCAGATCATTCACTCGTGGTCATGCGTAGTTCACCTGAAAGTTTGAGAGTTAACGGAAGGTCACCGTGCACGTGATGCATTCGCTAAACCCCTGTAATCTTAGCGTCCCGCACCAAATCTACTCACCAAATCGATCGTGGAATTTTGCAAAATATTCCTCTACGACTTCACGACAAAATTATTCCGACAATCATCGACAACCGCCACGATGTCTGCCGCAAAGACGTAGGACTCCCTCCACTCCCTCGAGTTAATCGATGGGTTCAGTTTTAGTTGGCCGTCCTCTCGCTGGGTTACCACCGCATCGCATGTTAGCTCCAGAGTGACCGATGCGTGGGAGCCAGCTCGATCTTTCCTATGCTACGCCCTCCATGGTTTGAGTCTCAATGGCTTAGCCCGTGAGAGAGTGGTAGCACGGGGTCTTGAGGTTGAAGATTAATTCTTCTCTTCCAAATCCATTGCCGCACACAATTCAGTACTGCCAATGCGCCATGCTTTGGTCGGAAAAGAATTGTCTACGTGCTGTGCATTTATCTTGGACATGTCCAGGGTCTTGTCGGATGAGACAGAGTACCAGTTGGTTAAACCATCCTACCGAAAGGGTCCATGGAACGGTCATGCCTCTGGTCATCTCACCGATAAAATTCATACTTCGAGTTAGCCACTGCGAGAATGCCGCGCTTTAGCTGCAATTCCCACTCGGCGCTCCTCTCTCATACATAGTATGCGAGTCAAAAGGCTAACCTAAAGTAGAACCGTCCCGACCAATGACCAAATCTTGGTCCCTGAGACGCTCTTGAAGAAGCGCAAGAGCCAGGAGAAGGCCAGAGAGGAGAAGTCTGCCGAGCTCGAGAAGAAGAAGAAGGTACGTTGGGGATTTTATTAGCACATGCGGGGCGCTTCATGACTTATATGATGCATAACACCATTTTTTGCGACTAGATACTCAGTATCGATGTTGTCGCTCAATTAACCATCTTTCGGGTCTGATTTGTCATGAAGATGTTACCTATCTGTGCAAGTTCGTTCTAGGCTCATAGCTAACTGGTTCTATTACAGGCACAAAAGGAGAAGCGTGGTGTTATCTTCAAGCGTGCCGAGAAGTACGTTAAGGAGTACCGTGACCAAGAGCGTGAGAAGATCCGCCTTGCTCGTCTTGCCAAGCAGGATGGCTCCTACTACATCCCAGCCGAGGAGAAGTTGGTCTTCGTTGTCCGTATCAAGGGGTATGTTGTCCATCTCATGCCACTCAGGTATATGTACTAATAATCCATCCAGTATCAACAAGATCGCACCAAAGCCCCGAAAGATCCTCCAACTCCTCCGTCTCCTCCAGATCAACAATGGTGTCTTTGTCCGCATGACCAAGGCAACTCTCGAGATGTTGAAGGTTGTCGAGCCATGGATCGCCTACGGATACCCCAACCTAAAGACTGTCCGCGAGCTCGTCTACAAGCGTGGGTACGGAAAGGTCGACAAGCAGCGCATTGCCCTTACCGACAACTCCATCATCGAGAACAACCTCGGCAAGTACGGCATTGTCTGTATGGAGGATTTGATCCACGAGATCTTCACTGTTGGCCCCAACTTCAAGCAAGCCGCCAACTTCTTGTGGCCATTCAAGCTTAACAACCCCAACGGTGGATTCCGCACCAGAAAGTTCAAGCATTTCGTCGAGGGTGGTGATCTCGGTAACCGTGAGGACAAGATCAACGCTCTGATCAGACAGATGAACTAGGCTGTACATGGGTTTGTTATTTGGGCATGGGGTTATTCTGCTTGCTACGGCTACGGTTTGCACGGCACGGCGTAAAGCATCACAATGAATGATATGACAAAATCGAACAACCTTCATGACCCAATCTCTTAGTTGACATTCCTATTCGTGACATGCAATTCTACAATTCTACATCGCACATTTCCCATAATATCCTAGCCCTTAAGCCTTAATATCAAAGCTCGTCCCACACCCGCAACTACTACTAGCCAGCGGATTCTCAGCAATCTTAAACTGGCTCCCGATCAACTCCATCGTAAAGTCCACCATACTTCCCTTCAGTAGCTCTAAACTCGGTCCATCCATAACCACCTTCGCTCCGGACCCATCACCCGCCACAAACACCGTATCATCTTCATCCAACTTCCCCACTTCCACAGCTTCTTTCCCGCTCTCTGATGTAGACCCCATTGCATTCGCATCGGTAGAGGAAGTATTCAACGCCGGCGAAGATTCCTCCTGCACGACTCCCGCCATTCCGGGAGACATCGCATTGGCATTACTCGAGGAAGTGTTTAATGCGGGAGAACCCTCTTCTTCAACCTTGTGGGAGCCAGGATTACTCGCGGCGCCCAGAGGAGGAAGTGTAGTAAGTGACATGTTGTATTGGAAGCCGTGGCAGCCGCCGCTTTCGACCTGGATTCGCAGCGCAAGATTCGGGTTCGAATCTTTGGACATGATTTGTTTTAATCTCTAAATAAGGAAGGAATTAGAACATGGAATTTATAAATTGGCTGTGGCGGACGACGTGAACGTACATTGGCTGCTCTAGGTGTAATCTGGATATTCATCGGATTCCCATCATCGTCATCTCGGGGGTTGAATATTGCAGTCGTTTGGCGGCGCAGCGCAGTGGATGTAAACGCTCGTCTTGAGACATACTTCTGAGATGGATATCGTACTAAGGAGGTCTTGTTGGCTAAGCCGTGGTAGAGGGTTGTGGAGGGAGGCGGAAGTAAGAAGTCTAGGACTGGATGTGCGGAGCTGCCAAAGAGCCTGCGGGGTGCGAGTTGGAGGAAATGTCGAGCCGCAGAAGGGGAATGAGATGAAGACAACTGTGAACAGCTGCGTGTTAAAGATCGAGTCGCCATGATAACAATCTCCAGCTCGAATGTTCTTGAAGCACTGTTGGTTGCGGGTCGCCGGCAATGGAGCTCAAAAATATAAATATTATTAGTAATGAACGTTAAGCGTAGTGTTTGGCCACCACTCCCTTTGCCTTCTACAAAAGTCCCCTCGACACTCTTAATAACATACCCAGGTCTAATCTAAAGGCTATATATAGTTTACTAAGCTTAGCTCTTAATATAGCGCTTTTGTAACAACAGTAACGCTGTAGGCAGCGCATTTAATTCAAGTTATGCAACTCATGCCAGTCTCATTTCCTCGTTGACTGGTCAGAACTTTGCCTTACTACTACGCTTAGCCCTATGGGCCAAAATTCAATTGCCCACGTCACACAGGCACACTTATCGATCGCATCGCATCGCGACGTCCTCCATATCGCACCATCGAGCAAAAAGTATCGGATATCCTTCACGCCGACGGGGAGGATTATCGCATTCATTGCATATTCCGGACCAAAAGTACAGGACACTGCCACTGGTGACTGGTGACTGGTGACTGGCCCCTAGCGTGGACGCAAAAAGGGACCGCTGTAAAATTGTTCCTAGCAGCATTTTCTACAGAGACAAACTGCGGACGATTCACTGCTCTGGAGTCTATTCTATACTTAGTACTTCGTACGACGGAGTACAGTACCTCCCTCTATACTCGTGTCTGGCAGTAGCTCGTCCCTTACGTGTCAGCCTATAATTCGGAAATCTACTCTTACTCTGCAATACTGTCAATCCAGCAGGTAAATATACCGTCCTTATGCGTAGGTACCTGTATCGGTTTCCTGGGCGTCCTATATTCGAGCGCGTACGACGTCGATTCTTCACACAGTTGGCTAATACGGGGCCGTCGATCCCGTGGAAGTAGTACTAGTAAGGGAAGACCTGTTCTGGGGATCGTATTCTGGTTCAGGCGCCGGTCCTCTTGTACCGATATGGCCAAATTGCCGCTTACACGAGATATAAGCAATCTACAAACACTTCGGAGTCTGCTTCTCCCGTCTTCTCTAGTTGATCCAGTCTTTGTAGCCATCGATTTCGAAAGACCGCAATTTATTATTAATCGCTTTCAGTATGGCTACTTAGATACACAAGTCGGTCTTGCTATTCTTGATACCAGGGGCCTTAGTTCGACATCAAAATTTACGACTTTCAATTTTATTACAGGAGAAGATGCATATTTCGAGAAATCAGCGCCTATTTATCGCTGCGGTACTGCAGAAAAAATCTCTTTTACAAGTATGCTATCAAAGATTAATAGCTGCCTTCGTATCTATTAAAATAGGAGAATTGTTCTTATTGGGCATGGAGTTTCAAATGATCTTGCTGCGTTAAAAGCTCTTGGGTTTAATTTCCAAGAAAATCTGGTCATTGCAAAATTGGATACATACTTGCTTGCACAAGACTTGCAAATGGGACATTTTACCTTGAAGAATCTACTTGTCGAGCTAGATTGTCCTTGCAATTTAAAATTTCATAATGCAGGCAACGATGCAAATTTTACGCTTCGGCATTGCTATTGCTAGGTATTAAGGCTATTGGAGTAGCGGAAAACGACGAAACGTTAGAAAGAATCGAGATACTTTAGTGGATCGCGATGGAAGAGGTACTATCACGGAAAAAGAAGAAATGGATACGACGGAAAGCCGCGAAGACACGGACACTTGAAGAACAAGAAGAGATTCGAGCGAAACGGCGACAGCGCCGGGAATTGGAGTCTAAGGCTGGTTCCAATCTTCAGACATTGTAACGGACATTGTCATCGGCCCTCCCATGGCGTCGTTTAGAAGATGCCTTATCTGCCAACTAATTCGCGTCGAATTCCGTCCTCAGAACCGAGTCTCGGTCTGCGAGCACATCCCGGCCTTCCTATAGCAGAGCTTTGGACGATCGAGGAACACTTCTCAACAGCACCTGCGAGCTTCTCCACCTCGTCGTGGCACTCAGACGATCGAGCACCACCACCTGAAACAGTCGAGCGACACTTCCCAACATTAGCAAGCCTATCCATCTCTATTTAGACGATCGCGCATCCCTTCAAATGACCAACCATCCCCTTCTCAATATCTGCTAGCTTCTTCAAGCTTCTGCAAGCCCACAAGAATTGAAACATCGTGCATCCAACACACGAGCGTCCTCTAACTACTCGGAGTAGAATGGACAGAGGACAAGCGACGAAGAGTACTCCTAGCCATAGCCTCAAAGACTCCTCGAATATGCATTGGGTCTACTAATCTCGCGATTCGCAAATGCGTAGGGCAAAGGAGATATATTTCGGAGCGAGCAGCTTCAATTCGGGTACGATAGAAGGGAGCGCTGAGTATAGGCAGGAAGCTACAATGTATAGTAGAACGATTTACTATAGTGATCATACACTGGCACTGTACTTTGGATGGCGCACTATGTAAAAAACTGTTCCACCTTTTTCGCACCATTGGAAAGGATAAACTGATTTAGGAGTGCTGGCTAATACCTAGTCTGATTGAAATGTTGCCACACTTCGAGAAACTCCTATAATCTATAAAAAATTGATCTTGGTGTAGATAAGAGAGAGAGATGAGTTTTTGCTATTGCTATCTTGATAAAAGCGTAGAGCTTGTATAGCTTTTCTTTCAAAGCTCAGTGTAGACCTTTGCCGCCTGAGAATTTCTTGACTAGACCCAAGGTCGCCGCAACAATACTTGGCAGAGGGTGCCCATCGAAGGCTCCCAGATCATACTGATGGGCAGCCATATATCTCAAACTATAGGTGAACCAAGAAAACGTCCATATCCGGCCCAGGAGTTTTGTCTTCCCTATTCTCGACATCAGCATATCATTTCGGTCGGCCAGGTACGTTATTTTCTTACATGACTTCTTCGCGCCCCATTTCTCTCCTAAGTAAACTGCGAAATCTTCGATTGTGATGGCCACTGGCTGTACCAAGAAGAATGTCAGCTGTAGCATATTATTCTCGTGGCTACTGGTCGTCGCATTCATAGCTCCCAGAGTGTGCAGAAGTCCAGAGGCAATGAAGGCCAGGTATAATTGCAGATACTTGGACAACAATGTTCCACGAGCAATCGGCACAAAACGAGTCAAAATGGTGAAAGGAAGATTCAATTTCTACACCACTGGGTCAGTCAAGTTCGTTGGGAGTATATTGGCACTCACTCTCCGGTACAACTGATGCCAAAATTTCCCCCAAAGTCCACGAACGGTGCAAACATCTCTCAATCGACCCATAACTGGTGGCCAATCCTGGGGAGTAAGAAGTCCAGTTGCAACTGTGAGGGCCGAGGACAGCGAATACTGCATGTTAATAGCATAGTAGGCAACCAAACCTGGGATCCAGGCGAAGACTATCTGTCTGGAGATTGTATCCGAAAATAAATCAGGAGTGGACGGAGTCCTGTATGTTGATATGATGTAGCCGCATAAATCAAGCAGGAAGTAAAAGAGGAATGCTTTTGAAACCTCCGTACGGGCGAATTGCCTGAGAAGTTACTTTTTGAGGTTCAACGTGAGGACTAGAGGGGATTCCAACCATTTCGTGATTCCGGCAGGCGCCGCATCAGGTACACTTTTAACCTTCCAATTCCAACCTATTCCTCTCATCGTCGAATTCAAATCCAAAGACCACCAGAACTTTTCCCGCCATGTCTTCGGGCGATTTCCATCATCCTTGATCCTGGAAGCTTCCTCTGGCGAGTGAAGAATGAAGAAATCTATCCAGTGTAGGAGTAGAAGAACCGCGTTAATCGGAGTCACAACATCCTGATTGGCGTCCCCACTCGTGTATTTAGGAATCTGAGCTACTAGAGAGCATAGAACGACCAAAACTGAGCCGGCCCGAAGTTTGCCAGGTGGAAGCAGTGGCCCCAATACACAGGTCAGGTATATTGTTTGGAGGAGGTAAGGTCGTGGTTCCAGGGGCCGTGCTTTGTCAGGAACGAGTGATTTGAATATGGCTTGAAGCCCGCAATTAAACATGGCTCACAGCCTGCAATTGTGGTTGGAGATGCCGGAATTAGGGGGAAATGTACGGACACATCGGAAAAAGACAGACAGAATGGTTCATCTGAACCACTGTAGAGGATGTTGGAGAAACTGATTGCGGTGAGACATCTCCCCGGCTGACAAGGTAGCTTCACGTATTTGCCAAGCAACGCATTATGAGATATTTCTTTTTAAATCATATTCCCATCTCTGTGCTCCGCGGAAAGGATATAGTTGTAATAAAACAATATAAACTATATTTTCAACAGTATAGAAAGCCGCTTGTCTGTCGGATTATAATGATATTTCAATTTAACTAATAACTCCGTGCTCCACAGGGGTATACATTTAAGCTAATCAATTTTTAGATTTGATATCGGGGGTCGATACGGAGTACTTCGTAAAGCTCTCTGAAGTCCAACGGAGTCGGGTTTATGAGATAAGTCCAAAACTCCATGTCCCGAACGAAACAATGCCTACACTAATAATAATGAAAAATATAAAGAAAACCCCTATCCCGATCGTCCAAGTGCCCTCTCCCAAACAGCCAGTGTATTCTCCCAGACAGTCTTTCCAGCATTCTCCTTCCTATATGCGATCAAAGCAGGAGTATCCTTCACGGTCGCATCATCAGCGCCGACCCTATAAACGCCCTCTACAGCGCTCGTCGCAACATCAACACCCTTCGGTACCGGCACCCAAAGTCCTCCCTCCGCCTTGGGTTTGGCAGACGGATACCTCGCACTAGTAGCAAGAAACAGGCCCCTCTCTCCAGCTTCATCCACGCTCGTCGCAAAGAGGTTAATAATCGGTAGAAGAAGCCACCTGAATGCAGTCGCAGGCAACGCATAAATACCCTTCGTGGTTCCCATCAACCTATCCACTACGCCGGTATCCACAAACCCAGGGTACTTGTGTATGAACGTGATACTGGGGTATGACTTTACCAGCTCTTCAAAAGCCAGAGTTGTCTGCGTGGTGCCGTTTTTCATGGCTTTTATGCCGCTGAAGTTGTTGCGAACTTCTAGGTCGGTGAGGTCGATCTCGGCCTCTCTACCGCCGGCCAGGATGGAGATCACGCGTGGGGATGGGGAGGCGGTTAGGAGGGGAAGAAGATTGTAGGTGAATCGCAGACGGGTGTAGTAGCGGAGGGCGTGAGGGATGTCGATTCCCTCGATGGTTTCTAGGAATTTTATCAGCCATCAACGTTTCTTAGAATACCACATGGGGGAGATACACACCAGTTCGACCATCCCAAGTTAAATATCCACAGGACAAGAACAAGATATCCAACTTCTTCTCCTTAACTTTAATCTCATCACAGATCTGGTCGACATTCTTCATCAAAGAGACTTCGGTCTCGAAAAAAACCACCGTCGCCTGTGGGTTTGAAGCTTCCAATTCATTCAATAGTAGTGTCGAAGCTTTCCTGGATCGTCCTACGACGTATACTTTGGGGGCATTGGCGAGTTTGGTGAATTGCTTTAGAGTACCCATGCCAATGCCATTTGTTGCTCCCACAAATACAGCGACCAGTCCTGAAGCTGACTGGGACTGTTTTAGCTCAGAGTTGGAGATTCGGACGTCTTTGATGTTGACCATTGTTGCGAGTACTTGTATTGGTCGATGCCGAAGGCTGGTAGATAGATAGATGGAATGGGATGAGATGAGGATTGATTAAGATGAAGTAGAATAAACTGTGGAAAATCGAAACCGAGAGAAAGACACCCAGCTTCTTATATATTTAAATATAGTAGCTATGTTGAATGATTCATCTATACGGCGTATATCGTAATGGGCCGTGCCCCTCGGATTGTAGATGGGTTTCCGGGGTGCAATCCGAGCACGTCGGTTATATAGCGGAGACTTTAGTTCACCCCCTGGCAGAAATGATGATATGGATTTGTCAGGATGTCTCCGATGAGTACCAGCCACGACCATCGCACCGAATAAGCACTGTAGATTCGTAGCTTGATGAAGTCATATTCTTAACTTTTAATAGCCCTGTGCATTCTAAAGACCTTGTCAGACTAGGGGAGTTGCTAGATATTAAATGACTGGTAGAACAGAGTCAACATTCCCCTGTTCCCAACCGACTCTCATAGCGTTTTATCGCAGCGGGATAATTCCACCATCAAGAATAATATACTGCCTTTACGGATAGTACCACGTCTCTTAAAACGGCTGTTGATACCTAGTAGAATTCTAGGTAGGTCGGCCGTCTAGTTACGAATTATCTCCCCCATCAACCTGTCGATGCCCCATATCTGATGCTTCAACGTCGTGTTAATCAGCCATTAATCAAATCAGATCAACAATACACTGTAGCGCGATTAATACTTGATGACGAACCGGTTGCACTAAGCACTAAGGAGACCTTGAGATTACAACATTGAAAGTTTTGCATTAATACACTATAGTTCCTAACTAGGAGACTAGGATACTATTGCTTTTGCAGGAAGCAAAACTCCATCTATGTAGTTCTTAGGAGCGGATAAACATGCTTGGCAAATACACAGTTGCGCCTTCGTGGCACCTGTCGTAAAATGCGCAAGCTGGTGACAATAGCATTCGAAAAATAAAAACTTTTGAGGTATTTCCATGCTGCCCAAACGCCGACCATTCCCCCTTTACGCCCACCTGGAGAAATCGAGACTATCTACAATGCTCTCCCCAGTAGTTCCCGGCCCAACTTCCGTCTCTGCTGTCGACAGAACCGATGACCGCTGTGAGCTCGACTCGCTCGCGTTTGTCAAGAAGTTCGCAACTGAAGAACGGCGAAGGCTGTTGATGCTATCTCGCACATTCCGCGATTCCTGAGCAACACCATTGGAGGTGCCGGGGGGCGAAGGACGGTTTGAAGCTGTAGGCTTCGGTCGGTACTTCTCCCGCAGTCGATTAACCTCGCGAAGTCGATTCCGCCAAGACGAAATATGCTCGCCTCCCTCAGTATTTGCCCACACCAGACTAAAAACCGACGCATTCAGCGCGAGGAGGCGGATAAAGCCTGGTAGAGCTGATAGGCTCATAATTTTGGTTTCCGCAGCCGGGGATATCTCCGGAAATCCTGGTTTACTCATAACTTGAACCTTGTAAAAGGCATTGTTTGCATCTAGATCGGAGGGAAGCCGCATGGCAAGAAACGAAGCTTGAGACTCAGGCGTGATGACGATGTTGACATAATTAAATTCCGAGGGGAAAGTGTCGAATCGAAATGGAAGCCCGGAATTATTGAATATGATATTGACATAGTCATTTCCAATGTGTCGCTTCTTTCCAATACACTGAGGGTCATTCGCTAGATTGGTTGGCATTTGTGTAGTGACGTGGAAAACAATCTCCGTAACGCGATCACGCCAGCAGAACGCATATTCGCCGTCTGTATTGGAGACTCTGTCTAACCCTTGCGTGTTGAACTTGGCACCTTGCAGTTTGGTAAGAGTTCCAAGCCGGGAAAGAAAGTATGTGTAATCGGTACTTCCTGTCATGTTCGCCAGAATATCGACTTCTTGCGTCTGATTCTCACCGATGTAGACGACCCCGACCTTATGCCCATCGACGGTAAAGTTGCGATCGAATGATTTAATGGCACGGTCCACAATAGCGTCCATGGGAAGAGCGATTGGACGCACAGATTCGCCGACCTGAGGGATTGAAGCAGATAACTGGAGAAGGAGGTGGCTCGGGAGGACGACATTAGCGTCCGAGTGCCGAACATCTCTTATGGCATCAGTTGGATGTTGGCTCTGGTGAGGCGGAGGCCGGTTGAATTTCTCTCGTATGATGTAGCAGGAAGTACCTGAAGGCTGCCGCTTTGTGATTTGAGCCCAGCCTCCCCGTGTAGCCTGCTCTACTGTCACGATACTTTGCCCAACGATCCATCTCTTCTTTAAGATCTCCCCAAAGCGATCAGTCGTAAATGTTGGGTCGGCAGCCGACTCATCAACATCGGCGTACGCAACACGCTGAATAAAATCCAAAGTGACCTGCGCCTGCTCATCGATCTTTTCTTTGCCATAGATATCCGTGGATACCAGATTTTTTGCAATCCAGCTTACTTGACCACCTCGGTCCGTCAATCTCAGAGATAGAAACCAGAATATGATGACATGGTAGGCCAAAGAATGCACATACTCAGGTAGATCATCTGATGTGTTTGGCTGGAAATTACTTTCGGATATGCTATTGTCCACAATGGCAGCAGAGGGGCGGGCATGCGGATGGCTGTTACGGTTCTGATGTACTTCTTTGGTGGGTTGATCTCGCACATATTGGAGATAGCGAAAACAAATCGCAAAGACAATCCGGTACTCTTCTTCTCTAAAGTTGACGTAAAGATCAGGCATTCTTGCAAGACATGCTAGGTACTCGAGAATGTGGACTGCAACGTGGGACTGCGTGATAATGGTTGACATTTTTTGAAGAATGGTGACCAGGGCCTTGCTCGTCGAACCAGGGATCTCATGGCTGCATATCGAAAGGGCGTGAATGCAACTCTTTGCCGTTCGTTCCCATGTCGACCCTATCCCCTGTAGGAATGTCCGTACGATGTCATCCTGATCAGTCTTCGAAAAGTGGTGGTGGTAGCTTAGGAGCATATTCAAGATCTGGAAGAGACATATCGCCACATCGGACTTCCGGAGCCCTGACGATAAGGGCGGTTCCAGGAAGTTGTTGTTCTTGATTAGGTCACATACTACCTCCCTCAATGTCTTGATTTGGGGAATTGCGCCCCTGAAGAAAGCTTGATTGGTCAATTGAGACGGCAGGTGTACGAGAATAAAGCTGTAAACCTCCCAGTCACATCCATTCTGTAATAGACGAGTGGTCGTCTCTAAATAGGTGCTAATGTTCACACTGGTGTGCTTTGCTCGAGTTGGCGGCGCCTCGGCACTCTCGACTTCGGCCGTTTGCTCAGTACTGGATTCCGTGCTGATTTTGCTGTCTCCGCTCTTGGTTTGCTCCTCTTCGGGCCCATTGAAAGAAATCAATAATGAGTTTCTCCGTCCTGAAATCTCTTCCGGTAACGGATCTGGATCTGGATACATCCACATGTGGTGATTACGCTGAGGAGCCCTATTTGCACCACTGGCCGCCCGGATAGCGTGCCTCGTTGTAAGGTATCCTTGTCCAAAGGAGGTGCTTCGTGCTACACGAGAGCTTCCCGTGTCATCAGTCCGAGATGATCGGTGTTGGTTGGCTTCATCCATGGCCTGCTTTTTGGCGAGAGCTCCTGACGTCCGATACAAAGATGCCGCGAGACCCTCCGACTCCGTGGAGAGGGCCAAGAATATCCTATTGCCCCAATCGGCTCTTAAGCGGAAAAGCATTTTGCAAGCGGAGATACGAGCATCTGTTTCACAATGGTGAGATTTTGCGATTGTAAGCAGCTCGTCAAATATACGAAGGCATTTGGACGACGAGTTATCCATTGCTCTCATGAACATTTGCACAAGGCCTTTTATAACAACATTCGATGGCGTCTGGACCGTGTTGGTGGGGACAGTTGTAGACGAGGGTCTGCCTGAATTAACTGAGCCTTGTCGGGTAGGGGGCGGGGATTGAAGAGGTGACTGGAGTCGGTCACTCGCAATTGAGGCGCGAATAGCACCGATAACATAGTCGAATAGAGTGTCATCAGCATTCTGGGCTACTGCCACAGAGAATGCAACTGCCTCTTCCAAGACAGCAATATCTTTTTCGTCGCCAATATCATCAAGGATGGAAGTCACAAACATCTGGAGGACATCCGGATCGTCACGCTCGTCCATCATTTCGACCACTTTGAAAACGTCTGTAACAGCTTTTAAGGCATGGAGCCGAATATCTGTGGGTTGAGACCGATCTGCAAAGAACGCGTTGAGAATGATCTTTACATTCTCTATCCAGTCCAAGTCTGAAGGGTAACAGCAACGATACTCTATAAAGTAATCGATGACCAACTTGGCGCATGTTTTAGGTAGATATGCATGGGTACGAACGAAGAATTTGATACAATCCGCTCTCTGGAAGAATTCATCGCCAGAGAACCTGACCAAAAGTTTTTCGATGCGAGTGATGAGGCTATAGAGAGTTTGTGCTAAGCCGGTAGCAATATTATGCTCATTTGTATCATCTTTTGCCGAGGGTTTAGCCATACGAGAGGTGTTGGCAATTGCATGGCCATCAGGTGTCTCTATCGCTCGTTGTGAGCATTTGAGGATGACGTCGAACATAAGAGACCAATCCTCGTCCATCACATTTTTGTTGATCTCATGATCGATCTCCTGGAACATCGATAAAATGAGCTTCAACACATCCGCATCAACTTTGGCGTGCTCGACGGCTGTGACGTTCATAAGAGCCTGTATTAAAAGCGTGAATGGCACCAATGGGTATCCATCTTCGCCATCTTTTGCAAACAATTTTTCTAGCACAGACAACGCTCCACGAATCTCACGGATGGTTTGTTTCATATTTTCTCTACCATCAGGATGATCGCGGAGTATGTCCAAGAGAATTCGGACTGTTGTCTGGCCATTATGCGAGCGGCATAGATTGCTGATAGAGCGCCATGCTTCTGGCTGGACTTCCCCAACAAGGCAATGGATTGAACACAGAACCTTGACACACTCGGGTAATTTGTCGCCGGGTATCTCGCCGTATGTGCTGATGGCGTCAATAACGTTGATACAGGCTTTCAGGTCATTCGATAGCGGCGTATGCAGGCATATATACAGGACCACATCGATGAGTTCACCAGCGACGTCCTCGCTCGAAGCGTAGAAGCTGAATTTGATGACGTCCACAATGAATGCAAAGAGCAGCGACAGATTCGTTTCTTCGCCAAGTGGGCTCTTGCCTTTCGGTCTACCATGGCGCCCTGCTTTGCTACGAGCTGTTGCAGTGGCCTTGAAGCATTTCTCCAGCCACGAGGTCAACAAGGGTATAGCTTGGTAATGAAAGCCCGTCAAATCCTTGCCATGTTTGGCTAAGTCCACAAGAGCTGCTAGTTGAAGGTGGAAGTCTTCGGGGTTTGTTGGACCTGTGAGAACTTGGAAGTATGCCAGCCGTTCCGGATCAGTGGAGGACACATTTTGAACGCATGCCGTTAGCAACTGAAAGCCTGCCGCGCGGGCGTCGGGCGGCTTCTCTGGTTCGATAAGGTCCTTTCCCTCCTTGAATATGCTTGTAATCTAGCAACCTGTCAGTATTTTTCATTGCCACAAATAGAAACAGAAACACATACACCTTTAAGCGGGTAATCCTGAACAGCATGACGTATCGCTTCCGCAGCCGCGATTCGCCTTGGGAGCGGATTCCCAGCTTTCAGTTGATCGTACAATTGCTCAAGATTCGCGGGTCCCCCATAGATTGTAGATGACAAGCCGCTGACTCCGGTGAGCTGCTGGGCTATTGAAGCTGGAGACTGGGCATTTGGGCTGCGGGACGACCTATTGCCAGTCAAGACCTTGAAGACGCTGGCAAGTCCACCTGTGCTTTTTGGCTCGGGGGTCTGGGCTACGTCCCCGGAGGATGGAGACATAGAAGCTCGAGTCTTTGGTGCTGGACGAACTGGGGGAACTGGTTGCGGCAGAAGATGGTTAGCCAATCTTCCAAGGAAGGTCTCTTCAGCCATGGCTATAGTCTCAAGTTGAAAATATTTCAGGGAAAGAATCTGCAGATTGAAAAATTGAACAGAAATCCATCCGGCGACCAACGCCTGGCGTGCCACCGGCGCAGCAGGACGAAGAAGCAGACTCCTGCCAGAGCGAATAGCGTCACATCACAGTGATGGGACGTCCAAAGAAGTCTGTAGACTTACATGGGGTTCGACGTGGGCATCAGCGCATGGAACGAATGCCAAATGTCACTATCCGTTACGGCGCATAGCAGATGCGCCGGGGAGGAGATAAGACCACAGGCCGCCAACGACCTAAGCAGGATGAAAATCCCGCTCTTCCATGAAGTCCCAAGCAATGTGCCCGTTCGTAATGGCTGGCAATGTTCTATCCAAGATCCGTTCTAGCTCGTCTAGCATCAGGAGGAGAAAAGCAAACCGGTTCGACAAAAGGCGACAGAAGACAAGCTGCAGGGACGGGCGGGTGATTGCCGTACTTATATTGCAGCTAGAGCAAGACAGCAACCCAAGGTCCCATGGTGTAGAATGGCTCTTTGAGTCTTTTGTCTTGAGTCCGGAGTCCTGCGTCTTGACTCTTGACATAGGGTTACGAAAGCAAGGAAAGCCAACTTGGGGTCAGGTGGAACTACCCGCACTATCCTGGTCAAGCAACATGACCGGGGCTCCTGTATTGGTGCCTGGGTGCCTGAGACCTCAGTTCTGCGTCGGCAAGGCTGCCATGGCTACGGGGACCATGCGCCACCAAAACAAAAAACACAGTGGGATGCCGCCGTGCTGTGCTTGTACTTTCCGGTGTTTGTGTTCGTCGATCGATCAATAGAGCTACATTACCAACCTTTCCTCCACCATTCCCGCCATAACTCAAGCTGCGACGAGATGGCTTTGGACTTACAGAATGTTGCGCAGCTTCTGCAGGCCACTTTAGATCCGCGGCAGCATAAACAAGGTGGGTTCCGAAGCTCTCTGCGATGGTTGCCCGGTTGCTGATCTGCCTATAGCTGAGGTTGCGCTCAAGAATGAAGAGACCAAGCCCGGTTTCTCCCTCCTCCTCCTCAATATCGTGGCCTCCGAAAGTCTGCCCTTAAATACACGGCTCGCCGGAGCTTTGTGCTTCAAGAATTTCGTCAAGTTCAACTGGGTTGTGGGTTACTTACTTTCCGAATTTAATAAACAACAATCATGGGGCTTATGCTGAATAGTCATTCTAGGACGAAGATGGAAGCTACAAGCTGCCTGAAAACGAGGTTGCAACTATCAAGAAGGAGCTCATTGGGTTGATGATCTCCGTGCCCTCAAGCATCCAAGCACAGCTGGGAGAATCAATAAGCGTGATCGCCGACTCAGACTTCTGGCAGCGTTGGGATACACTGGTTGATGTGGGTTTCCAGGGAACCATAACCCTTTTTAAATTCGATGCTGATTCTAGGTAGGATTTGGTCTCGCGGTTGACAGAGGACAACCCAAAGGTCAATATTGGCGTGTTGGAGGTAGCACATTCAATTTTCAAACGATGGCGGCCACTTTTCGCATCCGATGACCTCTACACCGAGATCAATCATGTTCTTTCCAAATTCGGAGAACCATTTGTACGGTTACTTGCGGTACGTTTCTACTATTCTATCCGTTTGACTGCCAACTAAATCCGCGCCCAGAGCACCGATCGGCAAATCGAAGCGAACAAGGGAAATAAGGACGTGCTAAGGCAACATGTCGAAGTCTTAAACCTACTCGTAAAGATCTTCTATGACTTGTCCTGCCAAGATCTGCCACCAATTTTCGAAGAGAACCTCGCCGATGTCACGTCACTCCTACACAAGTACTTAACGTACGACAACCCACTTCTAGCGACTGATGATGATGCCGAGTCTGGCCCTCTGGAGTTTGTAAAGGCCGGAATATGCGAAGCCATGACCCTTTACATGCAGAAGTATGAGGACGCTTTCGGGGAGCTGTGCAAGCCATTCATTACCAGCGCATGGAGTCTGTTAACGACAATCGGACCGGAGACTAAATTCGACATACTTGTCAGTAAAGCATTGCACTTCCTAACTGCTGTCGCAAGTATCGGAGGCCATGCCCAGATATTCAACAATGAAGAAACTTTGGGACAGGTAGTTGAGAAGGTGATCCTTCCAAATATCAGCCTACGAGAATCAGATATCGAGCAGTTTGAAGATGAGCCGATCGAATATATTCGAAGAGACCTCGAGGGGTCTGATGCTGATACTCGGCGCAGAGCAGCAACAGATTTCCTGCGCAAGCTCCTAGAGAAGTTTGAGGGATTAGTCACGGAGGTCGTAGGACGATACACCAAGCATTATCTCGAATTATTCAAGAACAACCCTAGCGGAGAGTGGAAAGCTAAAGATACTGCAATATACCTGTTCTCAGCTATTGCTGCTAAGGGTGTAATCACGACCAGCCATGGAGTCAAGATCACCAATCCTCTAGTTAACGTGCTCGAGTTCTTCGAGAATAATATTGCAGGGGATCTTGTCGCTGATACAGGCGTGGAGCCCATTATCAAAGTAGATGCTATCAAATTTCTCTACACATTCCGGCGTCAGTTGACCAAGGCGCAATGGAGTGTCGCATTCCCACCGCTGGTGAAGAACTTGGCCTCCTCGAATTATGTTGTTTACACCTATGCGTCAATCGTGGTGGAACGGGTCTTATTCCTCACTGATGACTCCGGGCAACACATTTTTGGGGCAGCTGATGTCGCCCCCTTTGCGGGAGATCTCTTGGAACATTTATTCCAGCTAATTGAGAAGGATCCAGCTCCCGAGAAGCTCCAAGAAAACGAATTCTTGATGCGCTGCGTAATGCGAGTGTTGATCGTCATCAAGCAGGGTGTAATTCCCATGACGGACAACATCTTACAGCACTTGATCAACATCACTGATATCATCGGTAAAAATCCCAGCAATCCACGATTCTACTATTACCATTTCGAAGCCATGGGCGCTCTTGTCAAGTACTCGGCGCCATCACAACCAGAGAAACTAGAGAATGACCTGTATGCACCATTCGCACGGGTTTTACAGAATGATGTTCAAGGTAAGAGCTGACATCCCAGATTAGTCAACTAAGCTAACCGATGGCCAGAATTTATGCCCTATGTCTTCCAACTATTCGCCGCACTCCTCGAAGCTCGTCCCGATGGACCGTTATCCGAGTATTATAAAGCTTTGGGTACCTCCATTCTCGTACCAGCTCTATGGGAGTCAAAGGGCAACGTTCCGGCGCTTGCACGGCTACTAACGTCCATCATACCAAGAAGTGCCGCGGATATCGTGGCTAACAATCAACTTGAGCCCATCTTAGGCATTTTCCAGAAGCTGATGTCGAAAAAGTCAACTGAGATCTCTGGTTTTGATGTCCTAGAAGCTGTGGTTACCTCCTGTCCTGTGTAAGCACCTCGGCAACCCCCATATGCATGATATTCTCTAACATCCGCCTCTAGCTCTGCCATTGAGCAATATTTCCCTACGATTCTCACGATAATATTTACTCGCCTCAATAACAATCCACCAGAAAAGTTCAAGCAGCGATTCGTCCGCTTTTATCACCTTGTCGCCTCCCGCGACCAGTCTGGTCTCGGAGCTGACTTCTTCATAAAGATGTGCGACTCTATCCAAGATGGGGTTTTCGTCCCCATTTACCTAACAATAATACTGCCCGTAACTCAACAGTTTGCTCGCCCTCTTGAGCGAAAGCTTGCGGTTGTGAGTCTTACCAAGACTTTGACCGATTCACAGGCATTTGCGGTCAAATATGTCAAGGGTTGGGGAAAGACATGTGAGGCCTTGCTGAAGCTCCTGGAGAATCCGCCAATGCCAGTTGCAGCAGATGATGTCGTTGTGGAGGTTGACGTTGATGACTTGACCTTTGGTGTTGGTTTCACGCCTTTGAACACCTGCAAGAAGCAGCCAAGAGAAGACTGGCCCGAAGTGACAGATGTGAAAACATGGGTGGGATCCTACCTCAAAACCGCTGATGGGCGGCATGGAGGCGCGATTGCGGGATATGTGAATGACCGGCTGACACCAGAGGCGAAGACCGTACTGGTATCGTACATGCGATGAATAATAATAGCTCACGACAAAATGCTATGAAGATATGAGAAAACCAACGGTCAAAAGGAAGCGTGTGTGTGTGCAGGTGTTATTTTAGTGGCTCGTTTTGGGGGCAGGTGAGCAAAAAGTCTAGAATACTTGATCAGCTTTCTGCACTCTTGCTCCAAGCACCATCATCTATATTAGGATGACGAGTCTCCTACCCCAGGCATCAATAGTTTCCTCAATGGTAACGTTCACGATAGATCCAATCGTCGATACCCTAGTTCCCCGCAATCGAACCGTTTTCTCTACGGCTCTTATACGTCCGTCTCCGTCTCCTCGGCAGCCGGCCACTCCCTAGTAACAAGAACATAACTGCCTAGGTAGATAGCTTTAATAAGGAGCGTGGAAGTACCATTTCTCCGCTTGTCCACCCCGGGTTTGTATGCTGGGTGCGGAGAAGTTGAGCCACAGCCAGGTTATGGGACCCTCTCATCCATGCGCCAAAACGATGCTAAAACATCAGGCTCAATAGCATTCCGCGGCCTCCATCTATTCGTCCAATCTCCTATTGCCTTAGCCCAATATCAAGACATGTGGTTCTATAGTAAAAGAGAAGTCAAATTAAGAGTTGCCACCCCACGCATTGGGTGCCTCCCATTTATCACGGGTCCATGCAGACAGATCGATCTGGAGGCGTTCTAGCCAGGACACACTGACATTTCCTTGGATCGCTCCCCATGACCAATTCCCCACAACGCTCGCACCCCTTCCCTCATTACACCAGTCGTATGTTTTCCGGCATTTAGGCAATTACAATGCCAACTGAAATTATATAGTGGCACGTGGTAATATCTAGGTCCACCGCATCGCATCGGCAGCTTTCGCAAGCCTCGTAACGGTATTCGGATCTTTCTGCAAATGCGGAACGGAATTTCCTTGCGCGGTGCATCCGATGTTTTTCTTCTATTCCTAGTAAGAAGGTGCTATCGCCTGCTCCGGGGAAGGGGCAAGTACCCCCGTATCTTGCTATTATGAGCATTTAGCCTGGATCTATAGTCGGGTCCTCGGAATGGTGAGCCTTTCATTTCACCAATTACCTGCAATAACGCCCAGTTTGTTTGGTACATAGGTACTCCGGAAGGGGATTTGAGCTTAGTGTTTTATATGCCTTCGGATAGTGCCGAATGGGGCTCCCCTTCCATTCCGAGAATCCTTGGGCGTGCAAAGTACCTACGTAGTATATATTTAATAATGCCTGTTTCTTCTACATATAACCTTTGCTTGCCCACCCAGAATTCACTTTAAGGAGTTTGTTGTCTTGTCCATTCCTTCCGTCATTGCACTGTACATATCTTTGCCTTCTCCCTCAAGAAACCGAAATAATGATTACTGTTCGAAACGTTGTTGCCCTGGCTGCGGTCTTGGCCAATATTGATGCCGCACAGGCTCAGAATGGCGCCTATGGCCAATGTAAGTTTTGTCACAGTTTGTGAAGAGTTAGAAAAGGTGGCTGATTATTTTCAAGGTGGTGGTATGAACTGGGGTGGCTCTACGGCTTGCGTCTCTGGATATACTTGCACATATTCAAAGTATGTATTATCCATTCATTATACCATATTAATAGGAATCACCACCTACAATGTTCCTATCTCGGGCTGGTAATTAATAAGTTTTTGAGAGAAGTGACAAAACGTCCGCTCATCCCAGAGATATAAATTAGAGCCTCTGAATCTTACCTGCCAAGTGGTAAGGATGGGACATTGAAAGGCATTGCATCTCAATTATATGACGATTTTTGGAATTATCTGCTAACCTTTTTCTAGTGACTGTAAGTTTCAATTACCGGAAATAGTAGTTTTGATACTAATGCAGCACTCAAGGGTATTCTCAGTGCCTTCCTGGTAGCGGCAATGGAGGCGGCGGTGTCACCACCACTGCCGTGCCAACGACAATGACGACGGTCACCAACCCAGGCACTACTAGCACTCCCCCAACTGGGGGTGCTGGTTCCAGTACCGGCGGCGCCAACAGCATCAACGAGAAATTCAGGGCTAGGGGCAAGAAATACTTCGGTGTTGCAACGGACCAGAACAGACTTACTGCTGGAAGCAACGCTGCTATTATCCAAGCCGATTTCGGACAGGTGACACCGGAGAACAGCATGAAGTGGGATGCTATTGAAGGTATGTCATTGTATCCCTCTCGGTGGATAGCGAAAATACTAACTTTGTGCTTCAGCTTCGCAGAACAGCTTCAACTTCGCTCAGGCAGATTACTTGGTTCGTAACTTGACATATATTGGGGCGACTTATGCTTATAGCCATAGGTTAATTGGGCAACAACCAACAACAAACTCATCAGAGGACACACATTATGTACGTTCGAACCTCAATAAGCTCCAAGTGACTAAACTAACAATTAATCAGGCTGGTTCTCTCAACTACCTAGCTGGGTAGCAAATATCAACAACGCCGCCACCCTAACCGCGGTCCTCGAAAACCACATTGCAACCACGATGGGTCGGTATAAAGGCAAGATCTATGCATGGGTAAGGCACAATCCCACCCTAAATTCTCCCTACATGGCTAACCTTTCAGGATGTCGTGAATGAGATATTCAACGAGGATGGCTCTCTCCGTTCAGATGTCTGGTCCAACGTCCTCGGCGAGAACTTCGTTTCCATCGCGTTCAAGGCCGCTAGAGCAGCTGATCCTAACGCCAAGCTATACATCAACGATTACAAGTACGTATACACATCCATTCAGCTCGGTCCCAGAACTAATATCCTCTTCTACTTAGTCTCGACTCTGGCTCATACGCTAAGGTCACTACCGGAATGCGCGACCATGTCAAAAAGTGGATCGGCCAAGGAATCCCCATCGATGGTATCGGATCCCAAGGCCATCTCCAATCCGGCCAGGGTTCCGCTGCAGCTGGTGCCATCTCCTCGCTTGTTGCCTCCGGGGTCGCTGAAGTTGCAATCACAGAACTTGATATCGTCGGTGCTGCATCTAACGATTATGTTGCCGTTACCAACGCCTGCTTGAACGAGCCTAAGTGCGTGGGTATTACAGTGTGGGGTGTTCGGGATCCTGTAAGCTATATCTTTTCTCAGTTGGTTGTGTTCTTGCGTATTTGGACTCGGCGTGGAAATCTGATGCTAATGTGCTTTGCCCGAAATAGGATTCCTGGAGAGCGTCAAATAACCCATTGCTGTTCGATTCAAGCTACAATCCTAAGGCGGCGTATAATGCGATTTTGGCAGCTTTGTAAATGTGATGGAAGGGAAGAACGCAAGATAGGACAGGACCAGAGCGAACAAGGAAAATTTGGGGAGGGATTTAGAATTCATGTATATACTTTGAGATGGATTGGAATAAAGAAATATCTTGCAATAATAGTCTCAATGTCTCAATGCATTCTGGTGATTTGATCTTTCAGCCTCCTTTAGAATATCTCGAGATAACAGCCTCAATGTCTCAATCTATTCTAATCCTCCAGTCCCCTCTAATGTCTCAATACATTCCGATCTGTTAGTCTCCCTTTAAAATATCTAGCGATACAGGTCTAAATGTCTCAATCCATTCTAATGTTTCAATCCCTTTGAAATATCTAGCAATATCTAATGTCTCAATCCATTCTAATGTTTCAGTCCATTTGAAATATCTGGCGATATCTAATGTCTCAATACATTCTAGTAATTTAGCCTTTTAACCTCTCTTTGATCGGCTAGTAGAGATTGAATTTGTTCATTATAAGTGAAGTCTGCAAGACGATTCAAGTTCTCATACGTCAATAGACTAATTTGTAAGCTATACGACCAAGGCCCTCACTTAGGCGATTCACTTTCAAGTTATATACAAGTTCCCTGATGAACGTTTCTCTTATTAAACTTATATCTGGAGGTATTGACCAGCAGCAGGCTAATGCTTTCAAGCACCCCTATAATTTACACAGAAGCCCTGTACCAACATCCCACGTCAGACCATCACCTCCCCAATCCCCGCCGCTTCATATACAGTCTCAAAAGCATCCAGCCGGGAGCAAAATGTTCACGAGGGTCAGGAATTGCAGGATACCAGTCTGGACGGATAATTTCGAGCTGGTTTGGCAAAATAGTATCAAATTCCTGTGGAAAAGCCCGGTTGTAGAGCACGAGAATAGGAATCGCAAGGTACCTATATAACGATTAGTATACATATAAAATACACTGCAGTGGAATATCCAAGGGGCCATACTTGAGTTGCGTGAAATGTTTCATCGATCCAATTGATTGTCGAACATTCCAAGGATCATTCCCATTTCCTATATCAAACGGGTAAATGATTTGGAAACGGAGGGTGAGGTGCTTCAGGGTGTCAGAGGCGAGACTCAGGGCAGAATTAATCTTTCCACCATCGCAATGTTCCCCTAGCGATCTGTCATAAACAAGGTCACATTCCAGTGTTTCAAGCTTTGGGGTTGCCTCCAGTAGTTGTGCTAAATGATCTTCGCTAAGTTCACTGTATCGAAGTGAGAGGGCGGTAAGGTTTTCTGTGTAGGGTATTCCGCTGCGCCAGTCCCAAACAACTACATCTGGGACAAAGCAACTAACAGATAGTGTTTGGAGACCTGGAACGCGAAACAGCCGCGACATTTGCAGATCAATGTCGTATTGATTATCTAGCATCTGTTCGAAATAGTCGCGTTGAAGTTGTGGGGATCTAGCATTGTCGGTGTCGAGTGAAACAACGATGTTTTTAATAGGTTGAAGTCTGTAAAGTTTCGCCGGATCGCCGATAGCTTGAAAGATTTTGCTTCGATAGATACAACTTCCACGAATTCGTATATCGATCAATGTAAGCCGGGGGAGAAAAGCGACAAGGAGTCCGATTGCCACGTCCAATGCCCCTTCTTTGAGCGCGTGCACCCAAGGCAAATACGGGATATCCTCCATTTCCTGTATCCTATCCACACACATGGTGAATTCTCCTAAACTGAGGCCCCCCTCACGTGTCTCATATTTATTCCAGAACAACCCAGCTGAAGTGTCCACTGCCAAGATCGTTGCACGCTTGACATGATGAGCGAGATCCGGGCGGTTCAGGATGGTCCGAAGAAGGAGGTAGGGAGGAGGTCCGAAATGACCTAAAACTCTATTTCTCTTCTTTCTCCTCGATTTAGTGAATGCTAAGATATCCTTGCCGGATAGATCGGGGATAGGAGGCAATTCTTGACGGGGAGGAGGGACCCAGGAGAATTCTGAGTATAGGAAAGGTTCGGCGAGCCGGCGCAGTAGTCTCGACACAAGGCTGAAAGCTGCATGTTCTTTTTGTGAACTATAGTTAAGAATCAGACACCACACCTCATTTGGAACGCGATCTGCTATAACTTCTAACGACGAAGCTAGAGCTTGCGGTGTGTGTGACTCTGCTGACATAGCGATAGTTTGTGAATAAGCCTGTCTTGAAAGAGTAAGATCGGATTCCGATTCTAAGACAAGGTGAAGAGGCCGGGAGATAGAGAGGTGAGGAAGCGGAGCGCCGAAGAGACGAAGTTGTAAAGAGATGAAGATGTGAAGTTGGAAAGGTCTTGACGAGAAGTGGTCAAGACGAGAAGCGGTCAAGACGAGACGCGGTCAAGACAAGGGGTAGTAAAGGGATAGAGATAAAAATGGCAAAGTAATAAAACGTAGAGCTTTGTTTATATTTGTGCACTGTTGTACCTGTGTGGAGTACCTGTTCATCTGCCTGGCTTTAAGAATCACTTACTGAAAACGAACAACTCCAAGTACAATATTCCCTAGAGTTTCTATTGAGAGATGTTCTCGTTATATACCTACCCGAGGCAGATACTAAACTTAAGATACTAGTTCAACATTGCATCTGAAATTGGGATATTTGTTGACAGTTGCCAGTCACGATGTCGTTGGCTGGTGGCCAAACAACCCGCTTACATAATGCCCAAGCAACCCCACTACTGGCTCGTCAGTTAATAAAGTGGTTCAGAGTCTGCTGATGTTACTCTTAAGGCATTTGACAGTAACTTTGTTCAAATCTCAATCTCAGTCGCAATGGCCAAAGGTCGGGTATTAGTGATTGCTGGCTCTGACAGCTCTGGAGGAGCGTGAGTTCCCCATGGCGGCCATCTCCAAATATTACACTGATTCTCCTTCCTTGCCGATTTTGGTGGGCTGACATCATATCGGAGATTTTCAGGGGTCTTGAGGCTGATCAAAAGGTGATCGCAGCACATGGCTGCTATGCCATGACAGCGACGACCGCATTGACTGTTCAAAATACTCTTGGAGTGACCGACATTCATTATGTGCCGCCAGCATTTGTTGGCAAGCTGATCGATATCTCCGTCAGTGATATTGGGGTGGATGTTGTTAAGATCGGTAAGGACTCTCTTTACTGATACTTTCCTTTACATCTTGCACATTATGGCTAATTTTTGGTCCTACATGAAGGCATGCTAGCCTCTGCAGAGACAATCAAGGTCGTTGCAAATGCTCTCCGGCAACACAATGTACCCGCCATAGTTGTTGATCCAGTAGGCGAAAACCTGCCTTTTATTGTAATATATCTGACTCGTTCAGGTAATGATATCAACCAGTGGATCCCACCTGCTACCAGGAGATGCGGTTCGTGAACTGCGTATGGAGATCCTCCCACAAGCAACCATACTCACGCCCAATCTTCCCGAGGCAATGGATCTTCTCTCACAGTCCGGCAAACCTGCCCAAGATCCTAAAAGCGTCGACGAGCTAGTAGAAATTGCGAAATCTGTGCAATCTCTCGGCCCGCGGTATGTCTTGGTCAAAGGGGGCCATTTGCCATTCAAGAAAGACGGCAATGTAGCAGAGACGGACGAGGAACGAGCTGTCACTATTGACATATTGTATGGAGATGGCTATGTAACCAGGATAGAAAATGTATATCAAGATACCAAGAATACCCATGGCACAGGGTGTTCGTTAGCATGTGAGCAAGAAACTCTTAACACAGCTTCCTCTCTGACATTGACAGCTGCAATTGCGTCGAACCTTGCAAGGGGCATGCAAATGGTACAGGCGGTGACCTCCGCCTGTAGATACGTTCAGGCAGGCATTAAGACTGCCAGTGACCTCGGCCATGGAAACGGCCCGATCAATCACTTCCATTCAACCTATACTTTGCCTTTCGCACCGTAAGTCATCCGAATCCCCCTGTCAGCGCCTTACTAATACACATCAATGCAGAGGACACTTTGTCGAATACCTGTTGAACAGACCAGACGTTGACGTGGCGTGGCGTGGCCATACTGAGCACGATTTTGTAGCTGGACTTGCTGATGGCACTCTGCCAGTCGAGGCGTTCAAATACTATTTAGTCCAAGACTACTTGTACTTGGTATTTGACTTATTTGCACTCGTTACCCCAATCTTTGCTGATCTCCTCAGACTCAATTCGCGAGGGCGAATGGCTTGGCCGGATACAAAGCCAAAAAGATAGAAGATATGGCGGGAGTATGCCACCAACACTGCCGGTCCCCCCACAGGTTATAGAGACTAATAGACCCTAGGCGGCAAAAGTCGTGGCGCATATACATCACGAGATGTCACTGCATGTCGAGTATTGCAGAGATTTTGGTATAACGAAGGAAGAAATGGAGACAACGGAGGAGAGCGAGGGTATGGATTTCTCCTCAATGACTTGACCGCGGCTAACTGATGTGACCAGCATGCACGGCGTACACGAGGTATGAGTTTGGAAGCTTGATTGGGTAATTAATACTGATGGTAGACAGATATGTGCTTGATATCGGGCAATCTGAGGATTGGCTTGCCCTCCAGATTGCTATGGCGCCCTGCCTAATCGGGTACGGCCAGATTGCTGCACGATTATATGCCGATCCAAAGACGAAAAGAGAAGGGAATCTGTATTGGAAATGGATCCAGAACTATGTTGCAGAAGACTACACCGAGGCGGTACGACAAGGATCTGGTAGGTCTTGCTCTCTAGCCACGTTACGGCTGAAACTAACATCACGGAAGCACTCCTTGAGAAACACGCAGTTTTGCAGTCACCAAGCCGTATCGAGGAGCTGGTAAAGATTTTCATTCATGCAACCAATGTAAGCCTCTCAGTCGGCCCTCCTGTTTTGCGGCGATACTGACTTGCTTGAAGATGGAAACAGGCTTCTGGGATATGGGGCACAGGGGTGTAAATCGGTATCAACAGGGAGAAAAATAGAGGGCCGAACTTGCTGATCTTACATTGTAGACGGTTCCATTGTAGCATTGGGGGATAAACAGCCAGAGATTGGAATCAATCTGGACTGGTTCACTAACGGGCTCGTGGTGCTTGGAAGTTGATGTTTCATATTTGATATTGATAAATGCCGCTCAAAAGCAGCTTAAAAGCATTAATGGACATGGCAACGATATAATAATTAAACTACAGTACTCCGTCGCTTCCTCGCACGGTGCGCTCAGGGGGCGACAAAGGAGAAAAATCTGCGCTTTGACGTATTTCGCCAAGACATCTGGAATTTTGTCGCTTACCCAACACTAGTACCTAATCGGTAAGGCGGCTGCCAAATAATTTTCAGGCATAGAAGTTGCGCAAAGAACTCGACTTTTTGCAAGTTCTTTCCTTCCATCAACAACCAACAACCAACACCCAACAATCACCCCAACCTCATCTACCCACGCTCTCATCTATTTGAGAAGCTATTCGAGCAGAACCCCCTCAGTGACCTTAATATCACGACCTTGCTCACCTTTACTCCCTCTTCCACCAAGAAACAAGCACGATGTCTTACGGAGGAGGATACGGCGGTTCGCGCGGTGGCGGCGGACATTCTAATGGGTACGATACATATGGCAGCCGCAATAATTACTCCAGTGGCTATTCCAGCGGGTATGAAAACCTACGGTCTAGATATTGTTGCTAAGTTTGCTTTCCGTTGTTTGGTGTCGTGGTGCGATCAGGCTCGCGCTCACCTCTTGGGCCGACTTATCGCACCGCCAACCAAGCAGCATCATTCCTTCACTTTTTATCGTTCTATTTCATCAAAACAAGCGCTAACCTTATTGAAAATACAGCGGTGGATATGGTGGCGGCGGTGGAGGCTACGGCGGTGGTGGTGGTGGTAATGTCAACGGCTACTCTGGTGGTGGATACGGAGGAGGCGGCGGCGGCGGATTTGGTGGTGGAGCAGGCGGAGATCGCATGTCTAACCTGGGAGCCGGTCTTCACAAGCAGAGCTGGGGTAAGTTACAGAATAATTCATCCATACCGGTATACAGGCTAACAGTGCGCTTTTAGATCTCAACACCATGCCAAAGTTCGAGAAGTCTTTCTACAAGGAGGACCCCCTAGTAACCGCTCGATCGGAAGAAGACGTCGTTAAGTTCAGAAAGGATCATAACATCACTGTTCACGGCACCGAGATCCCACGACCTGTCGAGACTTTCGATGAGGCTGGTTTCCCTGCCTATGTCATGAGCGAAGTTAAGGCCCAGGGTTTCCCAGCACCAACTGCCATTCAATCCCAAGGCTGGCCCATGGCACTCTCTGGACGAGATGTTGTCGGTATCGCCGAGACCGGATCCGGAAAGACATTGACCTACTGTCTCCCAGCAATCGTTCATATTAACGCACAGCCTCTCCTCGCCCCTGGAGATGGTCCTATTGTCTTGGTCTTGGCTCCAACTCGTGAGCTGGCTGTCCAGATTCAGCAAGAGATCACGAAGTTCGGGAAATCGTCTCGAATTCGCAATACTTGTGTTTACGGTGGTGTCCCCAAAGGTGGACAAATTCGAGACCTCGCCAAGGGTGTCGAGGTTTGTATCGCCACTCCAGGTCGTCTCATCGACATGCTCGAGTCTGGAAAGACTAACCTTCGCCGTGTGACCTACCTCGTACTCGACGAGGCTGATCGTATGTTGGACATGGGTTTCGAGCCTCAAATTCGCAAGATCCTTGGTCAAATTCGACCCGACAGACAGACCTGCATGTGGTCTGCTACCTGGCCTAAGGAAGTTCGCGCTCTTGCTTCCGACTACCTGAACGACTTCATCCAAGTCAACATTGGCTCCCTAGAGCTATCTGCTAACCACAGGATCACACAAGTTGTTGAGGTCGTTTCCGAGTTCGAGAAGCGTGATAAGATGACAAAGCACCTCGAGAAGATCATGGAGGATAAGGACAACAAGATCCTTATCTTCACAGGAACCAAGCGTGTCGCTGACGATATTACACGTTTCCTTAGACAAGACGGATGGCCTGCGCTTTGTAAGTTCATAGCATCCTCCCCATATACTCGCCACTAATTTTTCCATAGCCATCCACGGTGACAAGCAACAGAACGAGCGCGATTGGGTTTTGAACGAGTTCAAGACCGGCAAGAGCCCCATCATGGTTGCCACTGACGTGGCTTCCCGTGGTATTGGTATGATTGAAAACCCCCCTCCCCCCTCCACAGCAACGACCAGCCGCCTACTTAGTAGTGCTTTACTCTCAACGCTCAGGCGCTTTCTAGATTGCGCATTTTGCCCGGGTTCTTTCGTGTCTTTCGGTTCTCTATTCAAGGGTGTCTTGGATCTGGAGGGCAGCATGTTTCGTGCTACGCTCGTGATTCCAACTCACTAAGTACTTTCCCCGGTACAATATGTGAAATTGGCGTTTCTTGACTTGTTCAAGCTATCTCCAAGACCCCCAAACAAGAGGACCAGGATGTGTGGATCACCTGCCCTGGCATTACCAGCAATGGACAGTTCATGTCAGATGCCGAGAGAGTATTGGATGCATATATATAAAGCTCCTGCTGCCCTGGACCGTTGCTATACACCGTTTCTTGCTCTTGCTAACCATCAATGAAGACGTCCGGAACATTACTCATGTGTTCAACTATGATTATCCCAATAACTCCGAGGATTATATCCATCGTATCGGTCGTACTGGCCGTGCTGGTGCCAATGGTACTGCCATTACGCTCTTCACCACTGACAGTAAGTTCATTCAGCCCTCTCATCAAGTAACGTTACTAACTCTATTTCAGATCAAAAGCAGGCTCGTGATCTCGTTGCAGTTCTCACTGAAGCAAAGCAGCAGATTGATCCACGACTTGCAGAGATGGTTCGTTACGGAGGTGGCGGCGGTGGCGGCCGCTGGGGAGGCGGTGGATACCGTGGAGGCCGCGGTGGTGGCCGTGGTGGTGGTGGTAAGTTCATTCTATTTCCTTTCCCCCGTTCCATCAGCTGATGGAACTAACGAAGGTCGCTATTAGGAGGTTTCACCTCTTCTAACGCTGCGCCTCTAGGAGGTTCCCGGCGTTGGTAGAGATTCGACAGCTCTCGCGCGACTCGATCCACGATCTATCCTTCCATAGGATGTCGAACTCGAACATCGGTCCCCCGTAAACGGACAAGCTGCATTTGCGTCCCGGTCGTTTAAGGCGTTAATGGTCTCGGAAGTTGGGAGGAGGTAAACCATCGTTGACTTGCTTTACGTTTTCATCCCTCTTGTAATTGCATTTTTTTCTTCCTTTGCAAAAATTGCGCGCGTTTCATGGACATGGAAATTAGACAGGCACATTGCGCCACTGGTTCCGCTAAGGGGCGGTTGCCATCTCGACGCCCATAGAGGACTCACTCTGGTTTCTGCCTTTTGCATTTTGCAAACCTTACCAATGTAGATTCTTAGGCTGGTTCACACGGACCATGCTGCGAGGAGGGGGGCCCTTTAGTGGGTTAGCATTTTTCTTGATAGACTGCAGTGTACCTAGGCTTCCTAGTATGATAGAATAAACATTAAATCAATAACCCGCTGTATTCCATCGTGCCTGTGATTCGAGAATAAGTATTTGTGGTTGCTGGTGGTGGCAGTACTAGTTGAGCAGGTACGTTGCAGGAAGGATTCCGAAGGAACTCATCCCGTCTATCCGCTTCCTGAATTGAACAATTCGACCTGATGCATAATATATATCTCTCCAATTCTCCCCGCTGAGTTTAATCCTCCCTCATTCGTACACGATGTTCTAACAAATACTTTCGCATCTTAACATGGTATATAACGTAAATACTTTACCTCATCCACAGTACAAAGTAAGCGGAGTTGAGGAGAGGATTTCCTTATCAGACTGCTAACAAACTACCCAATCCAACCCGACATAACACAAGTTATGGAGACTGTGGTTGCGGTAGTTCTCATATCAAGGCTACCTACCTACCTGCTAAGTTACCAGGGAGTACACACGTTAATGACATCCATCCCCTTCAAGAATACCTCTCTATTACGCGAAATGAAGAACTCATCATCACAGAATAAGGCACGCAGATGAGCACACGGAGAAGCGCATTCATTATCCTGGAGAGAATTACGTAGATACACATTAATTTACAGCTGATTACGGCAGCAGCAGCCGGTGGGTGAGGAAAATCCACCCGCTCCAATCCTAGCAAGACCTAACTAATCCTTCCCACTATTTCCTCCGCATCCATTATTGTTTACGTTCTTGTCAAGTGCCTGACTTGGTTGTTGGGGAGTTTTGTTGATCGGTCGGCAGGAGAAGGTGCCGAGGGGGGTTGGGGTGTAGGAAAAGTGTAATGGCGAGGAGCGGGGTTTTCCTCCAGTATGTTTGATGTGCGTAAGTGAATGTACTGAGTATGCCGTCAATCCGAAGAGGTCATGAGGCGGTTGAGGCTGTCTTATGTACTCTCATGTTGTCTGGTTTTGTGGTATTGTGTTGTATTGTATTGGTCCGACCGAAAAGTACTCCAAGCCTGGGGAAAGAAAAGAAACACAAAAGTTCCCAAAGGCGTTCGCTGCGTACGTAGTATAAGAAGTTCATAATGTTGCCCTGTACGTACAGCAAAACAAAGAGGTGGACTGGTATCCCGAAAGATGATGGGCTTCGATCCAGGGGGATAAGTCCAGCCCCGTAAGTTATAATGTACAATGAAGAGCCACCGAAGACGTGGGCGAAGGGTCCGGGCGAGAATTTTGTGCAATCGAAAAAAGGGCGGGCTTTAGAGAAAAAGGGAATAGTCATTATTGGTATGGTGGGCATCGACCGATGGTTGAACTATGAGTATTCGTTCTTTTCCTTCAAGCCCCCGATCCGGTCCATGTCGATGGAGTGGAATCGTTGTCCGCCCTCCTTCTCGTACGCAGGCAGCTGCTCATCTTCTGGCAAAGGCTCGAGACCAACGCCCGTCTCGCCGACTCGGACGACGACTACGCGGCCACCCTTTCTCTGGCCAGACTCGTCCTGCTCATCGGGGAAGGTGATACGGATTTCAGGGACGTTGTCCGGGGACAAAGGTGGTGACCGTGGGCTGCTCATCATCGAGGACTTCTCATCGTAGATTGAGATGGTGGAGCTACGGCCGTAGGGTGTTGCGGTGATGGTGAGGCGGCGGTGCCCGTTTGACTTGGTGTCATTGTGAAGGGGAAGCGATTGACGGGCAATGGCGCGCTTCCTGCGGATCTTGCGCAGGAAGTACAGCGCTCCGACCAGCAGGAGGGAAACGAAGAGGAGGACCAGGAGGGCAATCAACAGATCGATCATGGTTGGGGACATGGTGGGGGAGGTGGAATCGTCGCGGACGGCAAGAAGGCCGCGGCTTCTCGTAACTAGAGTCGAAAAGGAGTCCATTATTTACTGGGCGTGAGAGGGTATCGTGAAGTGGAAGGCGACCGAATTGATGTAGCTCGAGGTGCGGTATTGTCGGAATAACAGGAATGAATGAATGCTATTCGATTGTCTATTGAGCAGCAACATCGGTCAGCTGTTGCACGGCGGCATTCGAGTTCGGAGTGAATTGACGATGGATAGTCGCAGGCACCGCCCATTGCAAGAGATGTGATAGCAACGGCGGGCCGATACGAAGAATGGGTTGATGGGCACTTACGCAGGGAGGGAGAGCGAGACACTGGGGGGGACGAGTCGCGAGGTTGATTGGAGTTTGAGTTGGATTTAGGGCGATTGAATGAATGAATGGACGGTGAGCAGCTAAGAGAGTGAAGCTGGTACCTGGTGGAAGGAATGTGAAAGTCCCGAAGGAGGAAAAGGAACGTGGGGAAGGAGGAGGAGGAGGGAGGATTGAAGAGGCCTTCTCACGTCGTCGTCGCAGTCGAGATCACGAACGATGGAGAGGAGGAGGAGGAAGAAGAAGCGGAAGAGGAGAGGGAGCGAAGGGCAGAGGAAAGGAGGATTTGCTTGGTTGGTTGGCGTGCAGTTGCAACGGTGCAGCGCTGCAGTGTGCACAGTGCAACGGTGGAGCGCAGGCGAGAGCGGTAATTTGGCAGCGCAGCCACTCACAGATCAGCATCCGGGTAAAAAGAGATGGCGATGAACAGAAGCACAATGTTTTGCAGGATCCCCCGGAGATTGAGCAGCCAATTCAGTTCAACTACTTCAAGATCTTCCAGATGCCGCGATTTGCGATTGTCGTATCGTATCGTACCGTATCTCCTATCGCCCACATGGACAAGCTCAAGGCACACAGACAGCGCTTAAGTATCGATGAGAAGTTGAGTGTCTTCTCTCTTGTTGTTTACAATTGGTGACCATCACTCACTCCTCCTTAGCCCCTTCCCCCTGAATCCGCTGTTTCTACTTCGTCCTAACCCTGCAGTCCAGACCTCCCACGGCTTCCCTTCCTCAAGGAGCGCCGAGTTCGTACAGAACCACCAAATCGGACCCTTCGCCGTCCCAATCCGCCCTCCGCAGTCCACAGTCCACAGTCCACAGTACGAATCCTGCTGGAGTACGGTTATGTTATGCTATGCCATGCTATGTCATACGAGCTTGTTTACCTACCTAGGTACCTACGGATCCATGGCCGAATATCTAAAAGGAGACAGAGAGACGGCGTGACCGTCATCCACACGCATCCTCCCTGCGGCTCATCCGGCAGGACCACGACTCAACACAACACATCAGATCAGATCAGGTCAGATCACATTCGCCTGTTCCGGGAACAAATAGGGGAAGTTTATAAGCACAATAATAGTGGTCACTGTTGACAGCCACCTCTTCAAGCGGTGCGGGAAAGGCTCCCTGGACTTCAGATGAACCGAGGGTCGTTTATTTCTTCGGCAGGTTGCAGGTTCGTTCGTGGGTGTTTTGTTTGTTTCGCCGATCATCCGCGGCGATCATACTCGAGATGGGTTAAGGTTTGGTTTGGTTTGATGTGCATCGCCAACATCCCAACCTCTCTTACTTCATGCTTCATGCTTTATGTGTCATGCTCCTTGCAACAATCCCAACAGTTCGTAGTATAAGTACTCAGAATTGTTGCCAGCGCGAGGACGATATTTATTTATTTATTTATTGCACGGCAAACTAGCATTCGTACTCCGGAGAGGGGGACTTCGGATGTCTGTACTATATATTCTTGCGTAGTCTCAAGATATAGGTTGTATATTCTCGACATCATTCGTCCGTTCACCTCTCCTACGCACCCTTCACTCTTCCCAAGCACCAGCATCCCTCGCAATAGTCACAGTTTCAGTATCTAAAAATTACCAATCATTCGCCCCAAATACGAGTGTAAAGAGAGGAAAACCGGAAGATACCGACAAATTAGCATACAGCAGCAGGTATAGGGACCTATAGGTTCCATCCCTACCCTAACATATCCCTAGATTTGATGAGCCTCAAGTCTTCCCTATAGGCACCTAAGTACTTTGTCTCCGAATAATCACGGGACTTGATCCGACCCGGATTTCACGGCTCGAAATGTACTGCAAGCATGGCCATCTTCTCGTGCCTCAGCCAATGAATAACGCCAACGATCCGTTGAACTATTCTGCCATCCGCAAGGTGGTTGTCATCACAGTCGTTGCAGCTTGGACCTTCCTTGGTGCCATATTAGCATCAGCATGATCAATGTCGAGCCAGCCTTCTTTGAAATCACGGCAGAGTTCCACAATGGCGGCTCGCTCACGAAGTACCTGGTAAGAGCCACCCTGTTATCGTATAGCGTTGTGTCTCTTTTCTGGGTAGCAACAGGCAACCGATATGGGGTGCGGCTCGGTTTCTTGCTGCATAGGCGTCTGAGGCGCCAAAGCACCGATGTTTGTTCCCAGAAACACAGTATGCCTTGGACTTCTATCATGCTATTAAAGAAAGGAGCCTGGCCCGGGAGTTAAAGATCACTCGAGTGTCAGGGGGTGGCCGCGCCAAAGTCCACCGGTACAATCCCAGCTGTCTACACATCTGCTATACTATCCATTCACAAGTTTCGTGTTTGTATTTATGTATCAATTCCGATATCTTCACCACCTAGTTGTGGGGCTTGGGACCGCCTACTTCTCATTGTACCTAACTGTCACCGGCTACATCCTCGTAAGCCTTACTTTATATAACTCACGAAAGTGATTCAACTAACTGCTATATCCCAGACAACCCAGTCTATCTCTAACGCCGAAGTACATAAGTAGAGGCTAGTCTAATATAAATGCGAGAACCCACATCACGCAAATTTGACACCATTCCTCAGAGTTCCAATCTGCGAAATCTGCACCTCCATCACATTTCCTGGAACCAGATATCGCGGTGGGTTTAATCCTGCACCAACGCCACCCGGCGTGCCCGTCATAATGACGCTTCCCTTCTGGAGTGTCGTCCCACTGCTCAAGTAAGAGATCAGGTACGCGCAACCAAAGAGCAAGTCCCCTACAGACTCATCTTGCCTCACTTCGCCGTCCACAATCGTCTTCAGGTGGAGCTTGGCAGGGTCTTCGATCAGTTCCGAGTTGACCAGGCATGGGCCCAGTGGTGCAAATGTGTCAAATCCCTTGCTGAATCCCCATTGGGGAATTCGACCGGCGAATGCGGGGTCTCTTTGCAATTTGCGGGAGGAAATGTCGTTCCCGCAGGTGTAGGCTGCCACGTATGATAGCGCATCGGCTTCCGACACGTCTTTACAATCGCGGCCGATGACGATGCACTAGGAATAGGTGTCAGTGGATTCGTGGTGGGTAGAGAGGGAGGGGAGAAATACCAGTTCGCCCTCGTAGTCTGCTTGATCATCCTGGCATATTTTGGGGATAACGACGTCTGCCTCGTGGTCGGTGATACAGGGCGTAGGCTTGAAGAAGATAAATGGAAATGGAGGAGGTGAGCGGCCTGCCTCTTTGACTATAGATTTTATAAATAAGCTGCTGTTTGGAATATTGTAGAGGGGTAGACAGGAAATTTTGGGACACTCAAGAGAGAGATCCTGGGTCCCAAATAATGGCCCAAGGTCTCTGTCTCTGTGTACCCTTAATCTTGCAATGGTAATGGAGCCTTACTGTGCTTTGCGTAATTCAGCCCAACGCATCTCAGTATTGGGACATCATCTTGAGCTAGTGGGCCCAGCAGCTTCTTCACTGTAACTTTCTCGTCTGACACTGTAGTCTTCCCAGTTGTATCGTAGGGGTCATCTCCAACTATAACCTTCGCCTGCAGCTTGGTTTCCGCCGTGGTAGTGCCAAGATCGAAGTTAGGTGAGGGAAGTAGAGGCTCGCCGCGTAGGATTCGGCCATCCGTGGCGACAAATCGAATCAATCGTTTCCAGACAACCATTTTTGCAAGTGCTTTCTTTTTGCTTTGTACAGATAAAAGGATAGGTATTTTTTTGAAGGTGTATGAAATATAACTACGACGAGGCTATCATATTAGATCATTATTGAGAGCTGGCGGCCAAGCTAGGCCACCGGCCCCGGGGAGTCGTCGGGAACAAAAATGCAATGTTTACGGAAGGGAACCAGAAGTTCCAGGACAATGTTTCTAAACCCCGCGTTTGAGACCCCTGACTGCACCAAGAATCAGATTGCGGCGCCGGACCCGGGTGCTGGACCCCGCGATACATTCGTCATACTCTATACTTTGTTTTCAGTGGGCGGGGGTAGATCGGGATATGGGAAACCACAACGGTATTGGGGGCGGGGTAAATTCGGCCCGTGGCGACATAGATAGATAGTCGGCCGGTTCAAATGATAACACCAGGAAGAGGGGTCAGACTCTAAGATTAGCAGAGCCTGAGCATCCGGAGCACGCCCTGATCCAGCCTGCGCACTACACGTAATGTAGAACCCATCTTGGCCTCTTATATGGCCCAGCTATACTTTTTTTAACCCGAGTTTTGCTCGGGAATTCGTTTCTGCTCCCTTATAAAGTTCCTGCTAGAGCAATTTTAGATCCCTCTTGCAAAGACGATTATATAGAATTATTAGATTAAGCGATGCAGATGGAGCTGAAGACGCTGGAGGCGGAAGCTTCCCCCTTTGACAATGTATCGATCCAATTCGCATCTGGGATAGGTCTGCTGGTCATCGATACATGATTGTAGTATCGATGTCTCGGATTTCCAGAGCCTAGGAGTAAAGTGAGGCTATTGTAACAAATAGATGAATGTTGATATCGATGACGGTGGTGGTGGTAGCGGTTATGTAGCATCATGCAGGTAAGGCACCTTACCTGCCTAAGGTAGGTACGCTTGGTTGGTCGCCTCCGCTCCGCGTTACCCATGCCTGTACTTATAAACACAAGGAAAATACTTATTTTAATAGTAATAATACGTGCGAAGAAGTAGGCCCCAAATGGAGGTACTTCGATATCTAAGAGCGATGAATAAGTGCTTGGGCGAGTGCATACCTTTTACATGCACAATGTCCTTGGCAACACAATTCGGCAGTTATTAGCCGACCACGGATTCTGATATTGGATATAAACTATATGCGGCTATTAGATCCGCCGTTTACTCCGCAGATCTAATTGCTAAGATTGGCCTGCGTGCTGCTAATTGGCGCGCCTAGTACATCTCTACATCTGGGGTAAAAGTGCTGCCAGATTACCTAGGTACCCTAGCATACTTAATCACTCATTGGAATATCTGAAGACGACGAGTTGAACGGAACGTTTTATTCCACCTCTGATGCCCTGCTCGTGCAACGCTGGAGAGCGACAGCACCATTTCGACGGGGTTATCTGGGGCCGTTCCGAATGCACCCCGCAGAAAGGTACTCGAGGCGGTATCCTGGGCGAAAAATGTATACTCTGTCGATAATTACTGGAGGAATTCTCCACCGCTTTAGCAACGCGTGCCACTCTTAATATGGAAAACGGACATGTCAACAGATCTGATGATGGTTAAAAAAAACACGCCCGACACCACGCGGCTTAAAACCCTACGAAGCAGCTGTTCTGCTTCGGTGGCCGTCCCAGCTCCTCGTTGAAGATTTCCAAAAGTGATCGGCCATGTTCTCACGACTAAGCTTCGAACGCGTCTGCGTGCTCGCCCTCGGCCTTGTTGCCACGGGCTCCCTCGTCGCTGCTGGGCCCTGTGACCTCTACTCCTCCGGTGGCACGCCCTGCGTCGCTGCCCACAGTACCACTCGAGCCCTATACAGCGCCTACAGCGGCCCCCTCTACCAAGTGCAACGCGCCTCCGACGGTACCACGACCACCATCGCGCCGCTGTCCGCTGGTGGTGTCGCCAATGCCGCAACCCAAGACTCGTTCTGTGCCAGCACGACCTGCCTCATCACCATTATCTACGACCAGTCCGGCCGCGGCAATCATCTCACCCAGGCGCCGCCCGGCGGCTTCCCCGGTCCCGAATCCAATGGCTACGACAACCTGGCCAGCGCGACAGGCGCCCCGGTCACGCTGAACGGCCAGAAGGCGTACGGCGTCTTCATCTCGCCCGGCACCGGCTACCGCAACAATGCGGTCCGCGGCACGGCGACCGGCGACGCGGCGGAGGGCATGTACGCGGTGCTCGACGGGACTCACTACAATGGCGGCTGCTGCTTCGACTACGGCAACGCCGAGACCAACAGTCTCGATACGGGCAACGGCCACATGGAGGCCATCTACTTTGGCGACAACACCGGCTGGGGTTCCGGCTCCGGCAGCGGCCCTTGGATCATGGCCGATCTCGAGAACGGCCTGTTCTCGGGCGCCAGCGCTCGCCAGAACGCGGGCAACCCGTCCATCATCGACCGGTTCGTCACGGCCGTCGTCAAGGGGGGGCCAAACCAGTGGGCAATCCGCGGCGCCAACGCTGCGTCCGGCTCGCTGTCGACGTTCTACAGCGGCGTGCGCCCAAGCGTGTCTGGCTACAACCCCATGCACAAAGAGGGCGCCATCATTCTCGGCATTGGCGGCGACAACAGCGTCAGCGCCCAGGGCACGTTCTACGAGGGCGTGATGACCGCCGGTTATCCGTCCGATGCCACCGAGGACTCGGTGCAGGCGGACATCGTCGCTGCCAAATACGCTATCACGTCGTTGACCAGCGGACCGGCGCTCACGGTCGGCTCCTCGATCTCGCTGCGGGCTACCACGCCCTCCTTCACGACACGCTACATCGCACACACCGGCTCCGCCGTCAACACCCAGGTCGTCTCGTCGTCCAGCACCACCGCCCTGAAACAGCAGGCGAGCTGGATAGTTCGTACCGGCCTTGCCAACAGCGCCTGCTTCTCGTTCGAGTCCAAGGACACCCCCGGCAGCTATATCCGGCACTATAACTTCGAGCTCCTGCTCAACGCCAACGACGGCACCAAGCTGTTCCACGAAGACGCCACCTTCTGCCCGCAGGCCGGCCTCAACGGCCAGGGCAGCTCGATTCGGTCCTGGAGCTATCCCACCCGCTATTTCCGCCACTACAACAACGGGCTCTACGCTGCGAGCAACGGCGGCGTGGACACATTTGACGCTGCCGCTTCATTCAACGACGACGTGAGCTGGGTGGTGAGCACCGGCTTCGCTTGACTCCTGTACAAGTTAGTTTAGCTCCTTCTTATGCTTTGTTCACTAGCATCAATGGGCTGGAATAGGAAAAGACGTTTAGCAAAAAACGAAAGTCTATAGCAAACAGTAATAAACTTCTCTCTCTGAATGAAATTCCTGATTGCTATAAGCAGTGGCCCGTAGCATAACGTAGCTCTATTTTTATAGAGGTCCAATTCGGGATCTTTGGGAGCCTCTTTAAGCTGCGAGGAATAACCAAAGTAAACGGCTGCACAGTCGAATAACTATAGTTGATATCAGTCCAGCGGGCGTAGCAGGCCGAGAAGAGCCGGTACACGGCTCCTTTGATAGAGTGGCGATCTGTAGAATAATCATGGCCCATTTACAATCTGCGATACTTCAGGCTGCGCTGCTATTACCTCTCGTTTATGTTCTGGGGAAGAAAAAATGTACTGGATTTACCAGAGGTATTGTATATGACTAGGTCTTTTGAATCGCTGTTCGCTAACATCTCGTATATAATTCGTCGTCGCCATATTTGTGAGCCATGATGTGAGGTCGATAGCGACTGACGTTGAAATGCGGTTGGACCTGAGCCAATCAGACTCGCCTATTTCCTTAGACCCACTCGCGTTGTGTTAAACGCGCAAAAGAGACGCGGACTTCGCGATATAAAGTGACAAAAGAAATACTGTCTTTTTTTAATTTTTAAAAAAATGGTTTGGTGACAGAGGTCACTGGTACAGAAGTACCCTATTATACCGTCAATCTCGGGGTGCCTTGAGCGGACAGGCGGACGTTTGTTTTGCTTAAGGCCAGACGGCTACCAGGACCCGGCCCCCAACGATGCTATAGCCCTAATCCCCCAGTTTCCCACTCGGCCATCCCGGCCTATTTATTTTAAAGGAATATGCTTATTCTATATTATATAGTTACGTTTCGGTTTGTGCCCGACTTAGCAAGTCAGCCCGCCTTTTCACCTACAGCCAGATCATGTGACATTTGACTGCTTACTCAGCACTGCCTGGGGATTCTCTTTCCCTGACGGGCTTCTCCTATTCCGTTCCGACTCAAATACTATCACATCTTGATCTTACACCTACCCACGCTGCCACGCAAGACATAGGGAAGTTGAAGTTGGAACAGGAAATGTGTTTGTCAGAATACGGATCATACTACTCATTTGGATTATAATGCCTAATTCATACATGCCAGACACGAAAACAGTTGCAAGCCAATATCAATTCATTACTCCTACATACATGTCAACATGTTGTTTGTCTTTGGTTCGCTTCTCTTGCACAATCACTCCTTAATGTGGAGTCGCTAAAGTTGCAATATCCGTCTCATCAGTCCTGTACATTCCCAGCGCGTTCAACATGGGCTTATCGTCAAAACGATACAAGTATACCGTTTCCCCCTCATCCGCAAAGTGCTGGTACTTATACCACGCAGGAATGCAGAAAGTGTCCCCTTTCTTCCACACTAACTTCTCACCATTGATGATGGTGTAACCGGACCCCTCGATCACATGGTTGACAGACGAAGCCGTCTCCTGCACAGCAGGCGACTGTTTCCCAGGATCTAAACGTTCGGCGCACCCACCCAATGTCTTCGAAACCTCACTCCCATCAGCTCTCAGGTACCTCTTCACCGTCCAGTCGCCTGCTTCCTCGTCAAGGGACTTCTTCATCCTCGCCCATGGGAACACAATCGGGCTCGCACTCGTGTCCACGTCCTTGGCAGGATACCTGCTCTCTTGGTAGTGCTCCACAAAGTGCACCGGGAAATGTACGAAGTTGGGGAGATCTAGCCCATCGAGCCAGATCATCGGCCCAGATCCGTCCTTTCCATGGTCGTGCCAGTTCCATGTAGGTGTCAGAATGACATCGCCACGGGTCATGCCAATACGTCGACCATGAACGGCAGTGAAGCCGCCTTGGCCTTCGATAATGAAGCGCATAGCAAAAGCTGTGTGGCGATGAGCAGGGGCCGTTTCATTGGGCATAACCAGTTGGAGACCGGCGTAGAGGGTGTCTGTTGTGTATGGTGCAGCTATAGATGTATCAGTAAGTGGTGCTCGTCATGATTTCTTTTGTCATCGATATCAGTGTCGGATCATGAGGGGTGCACATACTTCGCGCCGGATTAACTAACATGGCCACCCTCCGTTCGGCCTGCTTCTCAGTGATCAACTCCCCAGCACGCAGTAGATCTGGTCTGATCTTCTGGTAGTCCCAAAGATGTGGCACCGCTGTGGGGTTTGGAAGAGGCGGGTTGAGTTTGGCCATCTGTGCCCATAGTGGTTTGGTGTGGTTCGATTCTAGATTGGCGAGGAGTGTATCCTCGGCCGTTGGAGACACAATAGCGCCATTTTCTTTGCTCGCAGGGAGGTGCACAGTGGAAGTGGTTGTTTGGGTTTGTGAAGCCATTTTTGCTTAGTGATATTTGATCAACTACGCTTAAAGAGCGAGGAGTGTTGATAATCGGAGGTGGCAGATAATTTATGGGGGAAAAGAGTCTAGGACGGTATGTTATATGATCTTCATACACGATCAATATATCCATGAAATATACTTGGCGATATGATGGTAAGAGTCGCACAAGGTGCTTACGATGCTCTGACATGTGTGTCGTGGGGTCGGGGATAGAACGGATCAGATAATTCGCGATAGTCCGGGGAGAGAGCGGAGATAACCCGCCGGCAGCGCCGAGGGAGGAATAACGCAGCCGTAGAGCTGCATTATTCTATCTTCCCCCGCGGACTTAGGGCCGAGACTGTAAAGTCGTCATGTTCTTATCAACATGTTCGGCAATTCAAGAATTCGTCGTGAAGGTCAAGGCGTTCATAACCGTGATCCTGTCGCTGACCTCTTGAGAAAGTTGAAAGCTTCCAAGACACTTCAACATATAACAAATATAACAAACACCTCAAAAATAATGGCACCAAGCTTAGAAGACACCTCAGTCAGCAATGGCGTAGATAGTTATGCCAAGAGCCCTGCAACACGGGTCGTCATACCCACTCCAATACATCCAACTCGATCCCTACAATTTCTAGAGAAATTAAATGGCGAAGGGAATAACACCACTCACCATCCTCTACAAGCCAAAGTCAAACTTCGGGTTGGCATTGTAGGCGCAGGGTTAGGTGGTCTGTCATGCGCAATAGCTCTGGCTCGGCGAGGTCATGAAGTTGTAGTCTTTGAGCAAGCTACCAAACTAGGAGAGGTTCGTTTGTATTCAGTGTTTCTTGTCCAAAGGATCATACTAATTCAAGCCAGGTTGGAGCAGGCATACAAATACCCTCGAATTCAGCCCGTCTGCTCCAGTCTTGGGGTCTTGAACCATTTTTGGGTCCACATGTCGTGGAACCAGATGGAATGACATTCCGCCGTTGGGAGAATGGGGATCCCATAGGTTACACGAAGCTAGTACCGGATTTCCGAGAGAACTTCAAGGCACCATACTATGTAGTGCATCGAGCTCATTTCCATACGGCACTATATGAGAGAGCTTTGGAGCTAGGTGTCACGGTGAAAGTTGCGAGTCGTGTCGAGGAGTATGATACAGCTGCCCCGAGTCTCAAACTGGCTAATGGAGAGGAATTTAATGCCGATCTGATTGTGGCCGCTGATGGTACGTTTCCAATGCCTTATAATTCAACTAAGATACGATTACTATAATACTAATACGTCCCTAGGGGTCAAATCTGCTGCCAGGAAATTAGTACTTGGAGGCAAAGATGCTCCAGTCCGATCAACCGGCTTTGCTGCGTATAGGGCCACAGTTGATGTCGAGAAAATGAAAGCAGACCCGGAACTTTCCTGGTTACTCGAGAAGCCATCTCTCAATATCTGGATTGGCGAAGACCGTCACGTCATGACGTACACCATTGCTGCGGGCAAGTCTTTTAACATGGTCCTTTCCCACGTTGATGCGACGGATCCCTTGACCTGGAAGCCAGAAACCGCTATCCCCGACATGCGCAGGGAGTTCTCGGGTTGGGACTCACGGTTGGTCAAAATCATCAACATGATCGAGAAAACTATTAAATGGCCGTTGTTATCTGGTCCTGCTTTGAAGACCTGGATTGCGCCAGGCAAGAAAGTCCTGATCATGGGCGATGCTGCACATGCGATGGTGCCATACATGTCACAGGGAGCGGCGATGGCAGTTGAAGACGGTGGTGCACTTGCTACAGTTTTGTCACTTATCGATGATGCAAGTGAGATCCCAGCAGCTCTTGAATCTTTTGAGAAAGAGCGAATCAAGAGAGGGGGTGCAATGCAACAGGCAAGCTTGCTTAATGGGAAGCTGTGGCATTTCGCCGATGGTCCTGAGCAGAGGCTAAGAGACGAATCCATGAGGCCGGAGGTGGAGGGGAGGAGCTTCAGCTGGAGTGCGAACCAGTGGAGTGACCCGGTTACGCAGTGGTGGGCATATGGGTATGATGCAGAAGAAGAAATGGAGATAGCTTGGGCGAGGGACCAGGAATCGACCAAGAGTTATTGATACCAACAAAGCAAATGGAAATGCAAATCCTTTCATGTAAAAACCTTTTGCCGCTGACCATGAATCATTCAAGATATGATTTAGGATCACGCTCGACGCCCCGGCCACAGCGATTATACCAACAAGATAGTACCTGTTCACCTCTACATGGTTAATTTGCTGTTTTTTCTATAATAGAGATTTGCCCAGTTCTAACTGGCTATTGGTGAGGGTGGGTTAGGCCCAGGTGTTAGGTGTTATATGTATATATATATGTTACATTTTTATCCATGTGTTTTTGATTCAGGTGTATGAACCATTGAATCACGAGATGAGTGAGGCGACAAGCACACCGACATATCTTACCACAGTTTATGGGGGGACACAATGTATATTTAGCAAATACCCCAGTAAGTCCGTCTCATTTTGGTGACGTTATCATATATGAAATGGGAATCGAAACCCTATGGAGTATTGCAAGGTTGCGTATGTTGGTCTGTGTTCGGATATTCCTCGTTGTGTAGAATACTCTCTCGTTGTAGAGTTCATTATTAATATGTATGTACATAGAGTCGATGTTGGCAGTTCGTCCTATTAGAGAAGATGAAAGCAATTTACGAACATACAGTGAGCACTTTATGCTAATTCCAGGAGCTCGGTGGTAGACATACTCCCAAGCCGGTTCTGCATTGGCGACGTAGTAATTCATCTGATAGCCAAGGATGTATTTTCCATCTTGATTCTTACTGCCGACTCGTGTATATATATCATACGGAATTTATGGAATTCCTAAAACCGCCCCGACGCTTTAGGTTTTCGGACTTTTAGATAACTAAGGATTCTCGATGGCGAGTCGTGCCTCCCTCTTATTGCTATATGAATGAATGCTATTCATACACCTCCGCTCTTCCAAACGATTCAAATATGATAATGGCTGATGCTCATATTTTCCAGAGAGAGTCACTGAGCGACAATAATAAGTCTGCTAATGATTATCCTACTCGGGCTAGCTTTATTTGTACGTTTAAAACGCTGGTTCCAGCACTGGATTTATAATCAAGCACTACGATTGGATTATCTACTGTGCGCATTAAGTTGCACGTTTCGGGCCAAGATTTTAACGTTTCCGCTGGTCTTCTAATGCTAAAAAGCTCGAAGGTTGCTATGGGTGCAAGAACAGCAAGACAGATACTGTGCTATCTTGCGGATTTCCTATAATCACATTTCTATCGCTGACCCATAGGCAATAAATCAGATATGTGGACATAAGGCGGGATTCTTAAAAGACACCTTTTTATAAAAATAAGCACCGCGCCCTCAAATTCTCTGACTTTATAGTTAACCTCTATGGATCCTTTAATCAAGTAGTCCCCGTATTGTTTAATACTCGTGATTTGAATTTTGAACATCTATCAATGAAAACAAAGGCACGTCAATCTTGCCTTCTCCATACGAAACTTGTATAACTCTGAAGAGCACCGCACAGCAGAGACTCCCTCCGCTCGCAAAGACCTGACGAGGTTCCTCCTCAATGCCAAAGTCACCGGGATTATTGCTAAAGTAACCCTTCTCAATTAGACCACGGGCATGTGCAGGTAGAAAGTAAGCATATTAACATGGTAATTACCACTGATACAACCAAATTTTTATACCTAGAGATGTCCAAAACTCTTGCAACAAATTTCCGTCTCTTTCGGCTTAAGCGCACTATTTCAGGTCCATTCGAGACAAGATAAAATTTATCTCTTTAAGTCACCGAGTACAACGTGGAAAGCAGTTTGCGAGTCTCAAGTGCAGCGAATTAAAGCACCAACTAGCAACAGAAATGCTTCTTGAACAAATTGGTCCTGTGACTATTAGCACTTCATCTACACTGGAATGACTTAAAACGGCTCTATATCCGAGAAAACGTGTACTCAATCTTCTCCGAGCAACTTAACGTTTTAATTCATCAAAGGGGACGGCGTGGTTTCAAGAAGTCAGTCTTGAATAATGGCATGGGCATAGCTACTTCAGAACGCGCAGGTATTTGTAGGATTCAAGGAGCGTTTGAACTGTACAGATTATATTTAAAGTAGCTTAATGGATATATATATGCATGTATAATAAAGGACTAAGATGACATTTTTCGATGGATTTCTAGCGGTGGACGGGGGGTTTTTTTTATTTTATTCGGCTTATTAGTAAGTATACTCTATACCTTTGACACCTCTCTCTCTATTTGCCTCCCAAGTGTTATTATTATTTTAAGAACGGGCTAGAATTTATTTTATTGAGATGGTAGCAAAATGTTCTTCTGGAATATAAAGATGTGTTTCTTAGATTTCGGGCGTTTCGGAGCTGTCATATACGACACGATCGGGAACTACATGTATGAAAATCGATTAAATTGCCAGATTCCTAATACCCAAGGCGTTAATTCCAAGATAACAATAATTAAAGCTGTCCGCCAATTCGCCCCATTGATATGTATTATATAACACTGTTGGGATGTAAACTCTGGTTGGGAAACCTGGTCAGATCGTGAAAAAGGAACGAAAATAGAGAGAAGCTACGACTACGAGGTTAAATAGGCAAAACCACAGACTTGCCTTGATATTCTAAATGGATATATGAAACCATAGAGTGCGAGTATGCCGGATTATTGCCTAGCCAGATCGATTCCGGCTCTACTTCGTACCCCAAGGCTCTCGTACGGTCTCCACCCACCGGGGGTGAGCGCTGTTCGGCACGGATACATGCCATGGGCCTGATCTGCGATCGCCCCGTCCAAGCTCGATCCACCTTTTTTTATTTGTTTTGCACATTACAGACGCGGAACGGAAGGAATGAATGTTTATCGGTGGTGTCTCGATAAGGTATCAAGCCGATCATCTGCTGGCCCCTTCTAGATTGATTTCCCTCGACCGGGCGAGGAACACTCTGTACGCGAGGCTTGATGCGGTGATGATGGGGGTGATTCTGCATTGCGGAGGAGGCACCGGAGGCCGGCACCAGTGGAACTGCTGGGAGTACGACGATCTACGCCATACATGGAAGCGGGTACATCAGATAGATAACGGCATTCATCTGGGATTGTCCGATGGGATGTTTTCCCTCCTTCACCGAGGCCATCGCCGTGGCTCGAAGTATGCACGTAGGCGAGGCGCCTGGCAGTTGGGGCCAATGGCCGTCAAGTCCCGATAGTTTCCATCTCCGTACCAACTTTGCTTTGTTTCGAAACGGACATCGTTGAATGGGGCCTTGGGACGTTTCCACAATTCCAAACAGATATCAGATGCAACTTGGTCAAGCTTGAATGGAGCCCCGGGCAACAGCGGGTCAGAGCGCAGTGTTCGTACGACACAGACACAGCGCTCGCTGCTTCACAGGGAGCAAGCAGGTTGAAGGCCGGGGGCGAGCGATGGATATGCACCACGCGTGCCACGGAACACCATCAATACCGCTTTTGCGGTCTCACAGTCTCGCACACCCGTATGCTGCCTCCCGCCGGCCTGGCCCTCTTGTCGACCATCAGCACTTCGTACTGCGTACTGCTATCGTAATGACTCGGCTGTGCCATCCATCCTGTCATGCAAGAGGGCTTGGTTGACAGCGAGGAGGCTGCTGGTAGCTAAGGTACCTAGGTAGGTAGCCAGCCATCTGGCTTCCTCCGTTTCGATAGAGTAGTAGAGCCGTGAGGGGGAACCTGAATAATTCCAAGAACTAGTTTTACCTTCCCAATGGTGCTGTTTTGCTTTGCTTTGGGAAATGCGTCGGCTTAAGGGAGAGATGGACGGGCCTTTTTTTCTTTCTTGGTGTCTATCTGTCTTCCATGCGTGCTGAAGAGGGGTCCAAGCCGTGTCCCGATTTGGCTTGGGGGGGGGGGGGCGATCGATCTTCTGGGGATGGCTGATTCCTGGAGGTGATGGCGTCAAAAAGGGATTTTATGCCTGCGCATGCTCCGTCGAGGTGAAACACTCTTTTCCTGCGTTGCGCTGGGCGGCGTCGTTGCGGTCCGAGGCTGTGTTGAGAATAAATAGATGAGAGAGGGTACATGTATAGTACCAAGTACCAAGGTAGGATTGATTGCCTGGTTGAGATCGGTTAAGGAGTAAGGAGTAAGGAGTAAGGAGTAAGGAGCAGCGTAGGGAGTATTGGCGATTAGTCTACCTACGTAGGGACACAATTCTATACCTTTGTACGAAGTACCCCGTACTGTAGTCTTTAGGCTTTCTTTTTTAGATGCGATCTTGCTTATTCCTTGCTCACCGTATGAGATTCCCAGCTAGATCCCCGAAACCAAAAGTCCAGCCCGCCAGCCAGCCAGCCAGGGCGACGATAGCGGTATGAGGCTCGCGGGGTTCGGGCGCACACCCGCCTGAGGTCAGCTTCATGCGCGTCAAACTGGGTGAATTCCTCCGAGTGGACTGGATGGATGGATGGGAGGGGAGGGGATTATCAGCAATGAGCAGGAGCGTTCCCGAGAATGTGGCTGACCGGAGCAGGAATGTGGATGGTGTACGAAGTCCGAAGTACGAAGAAGGTGTATTGAATGGTGTCCTCCGTAAGTGCTACCGCAGCTGGAGGTTGTTTAGCTATCACGGAGTAGTTGTTTTTCACTTGGTACTTGGTGCTTGGTGCTTGGTACTGCACGAAGCACTGTACTGTTCCTGGGCTACGAAAGGGCCGCCGCCCCCTAATATGGCACGATCTCCGCTAGGGCGGCCTCGGGGGCCATAAGGCTTAGATCATCGGGTGGCGGAGGGTGGAGGGTGGAGGGTGGAGGGCGACTAGGAAATTAGCACCGGGAGTTAAAAATATAAAACAGGTTCTTAGTCCTGATACCACCTTGATAGAAATATCCAACATCCAACATCCAACGTCCTCAAGGTCGTCCGTAGTATATAACACTAGGTAGGTAGCGTAGCGTAGTGTAGTAGATAAGAACCGACACCTACAAACCTCGTATACGTAGCGCAGCGCAGCGCAGCGCCGCACGGCGAGTCGTCCGTGCTGTGTTACAAGTTACCACTGGCAAGAGAGGAACGAGTACGAACGTACGGAGTAGGCAGCACTTAGGCTGCACCTGTACCGTCTGTACTTGAGTCTTGAGAGTTGCGCTGATCCTGTTTATCAAGCTTTGGCAGGGCCCGGGGGACGCACCAGGAGTACTCAGTACCACCAAAGGAGGTAATGCAACACGAGAGAGGCGCACTGCAAATGTAACGAGCAGATCCTTCGTTGGCGGCGCAGAGGCGTATATAGGTCTTCACTGGCCAAGAACCATCTCGTACTAGAGTCTAGACAGTGCTCATGCCGGGGCTCTAGGCGCCTAGTTGCCCGGAGTCCGTATTCTCTCCGTAGTTGTTATGTTAGGTGTTAGATGCCTACAAAGTACGCAGTCTCAAGGATCAGATATTGTAC